CATTTCAATCTTCTTTTGATGTACGTGTTGATATCTTCAACTCCAGCTCTTTCCAACACTTCAGTATTTGTTATAAATTAATTCCATCTTATTTGTAAAATTCTTGGTAAACATTTTGTTCGGAAGCTTTTTCATTTTCGATGAACTGTTTTCTTTCTTTTCCATATCTCTGAACCATATGTCAAAACGGCCAAAACATTGCTATTGTATATTTTTAATTTCGTCTTCAATGAAATGATCTTTGACTTCCATATGGTTTTTTAATTTCAGAAAAGCGATCCATACATTCAGTGGCGGTGGGTAGTGAAGGGCTCACGAGATTGAGCCCCTCTCCCCTCTCCACCCACAATCCCCAACTCTATCCCAAAGTAAATGAAAGTTTCTCTATAATGAAATAAGCAGTTGAAACCGTTATGACCGCACACAATGAACACAGAGTGATCAATTTGGCGGCTTGCTCGTCTATCCAATCACTGTTGTCACCGCTTACAACTATAGTAACCCAGCAGCCAATCAAATGTCTTTAGGGCTCAGCAAAGGATGGGCCCTTTCCCACGGACCTCCTTAATGAAACTCTACTTTTGTTAAAAGGGTAAAAGACTTGAAAAAAAAAGAACACTGTACTGAGGGCTCACGCTCTACTAGCCCTGACAATGGGGTGAAAGTTTACAACACACTTCCCCCCACTAACAAAGATACCTATGCGCTCATTGGTTCTCTGTTGAGTGCGTTCAACTTTCTCGACTACACGGCCTAATCCAGCTTATAGAAGTAATATGTTTGAAGTGCTGTGTGTGTGCAAGTTTGTGTTTGTGTCGCTGAGATTTAAAAGTTATAATCAGGTCGAACTACTTTTAAGGCTACTTTTTCATCACATGAAAAATAATTAGAGGAAATTTGGAGGTGAATCGGCTTCGTACCCACGATCAACAAGAATTTAACTAAGAACAAAGAGACGGAAAACAAAGGTAACTCTTCTCGTTTGAAAGGTTCTCAATACCGTGGCTCACCTGAGTAAAGAAAAATCGTTACTGTTTAGTTCTTATTAAATTGCTTGCTATTTGTTGGTAAAGAAATGGAAGCAACCTTAGCCCCACCCAAATTTTGGTCCACCCACCGCCACTGCGTACATTTTAAAGTCTTTGGTGGACACCGTAGAGAGAAGGATGCTGAGAAAGATAACATTAATTGCTCATCACAGAATAGCTTCATGCAGTGGTTCAACTGCAGTGTAAATCAAAGCTTTGAATAATAATACATGTATAATATATGAGTCATACATAGGCCTACAATCATTTCACATAGCAAACATCGTATCACAATGCAGAACATTATGTCTTCCATCATAATCAGTGTAGGCTGTACTTTCCCTACAACAAGGCATTAGATCTACTATTTCTTGTACGAAGGGCTTTTCAGTACGCAAATTACTGTACTAAACTACTAAAATTAATGTACAAAATACACCCTTTGCAAACTATACTTGTCAAGTGAGGATTTCATAATAACGTTGAAGATACTGTATCAGTATCAGCACAAACACACTTGTGTCGCGAGCTCTAACCCCTTGGCACAAATGGACCCGGGGACATAAACCTCAACATAACATGAGAAGACAAGAAACCGCCCAAGAAATCCGTCTTAGTTTTACAAACTTTGCGTCTTCGCACTTTTAACCCTATCCGTACGTCTTGTCTTACTATCGTATCCATACGACGTGGGGAACTCTGGGCCACCACTTTCCAAAGAGGAATTTTACTCGTTAATCCGATCCGTACGCTTTGCATAGCAGCCTGTCGAAATGATTTTTTGAGAAATACTGAAAGTTTGAAAGAGATCTTCGTACTAGAAGTATTCTAAAATGTGAAGAATACAACCCCGGGGGTATAAAATGACCCCACGGCGTACGGATAGGGTTAAGAACAAATCTTCATGATGAAAATTGACATAAAAAGCTGAAGCGAGAGCATTGTATCCATAAACAATGACAATGACATGCAAGCCTGCACTTTGTTCATCTCACTACATGTACCTTAACAATTCAGTCTCCTCTCAGACGTGATAATCTACAATGATTATTAGATTATCTGATGTTTTACGCCGTCACTGACACAAGTCAGATCATTAAGGAGGTGTGCTGCTTCAGTCTTGCAGAGAGAGAAAACCCAGGCTGATTGGGATACGGTATTCTAGCAGAAAGACGGGGACACTTGACATCAAACATCCCCATATTATATGTATGGGAATCAGACTTCATGTCTTATTGTGGGCAACGATGAAGATCCTAACCAATTTATCAACACCACAGACACTGGTACTCTCAGACACTATTAATGAAAATGGACTCATGACAAAACTGTGGAGAGACAGACACCAGATTCACAACATTATCGTCTTCCTCGTCCTCCCCCTCATCGCACTGATCGTCTGAAACAACACCCTCTTTATTTTCCGTAAGATTATCCTCAACACCAAACTCCCCTTTCTCTGCAAAGACACCGGTTCCACTGAGGCGGCCTCTGGGGTAGGCCATGTTGTTCAGATTAGGTCCTAAGTTGTCGGAGGAGGAGAGACTCAAGATTTGATTAGTGGGGTTTTTTTCCAGGTCGTGCATCATCAAACCAGACCTATTCTCAAACCCGAGGGCCTCAAACTTTGAGCAGTTTTCTCTCGTGGGCAGGGACGCGTCATCTACCATCTGTTTGTCAGCGAAATCGTTCGTGTAGACAACTGGCAGTTTCTGGCTGTTACTGGAGATGATGTCATCAACGTCGCAATGCTGCATATCGCTGTTGAGAAGGAACATACCGGTGTTGAGATGTGGAGTGTCCGACGCACGAGGGACACTGTCATTTTCCAGCAGGCTCAGCTCAGAAGACGAGTCCAGTAAGGGGGTTTGTTGGAGAGATTCCGAGCTCTGTGGCCCAGCTGACGTTTCACTTGCAATGACGTTCACCATCTCAGGCAGCGAAAACAAAATACTTGGATGGACTCTGGTAGTTATATCTGAAAAGGTCGGCAGCCATGAGTTACGCATGCCTGATAGATTGTATTTTGGAACTTAACATTTTAACAGAATGAATATCATTTAGGTATAATATATATAATACAACTGCGTGCCTGTGTTTCCTAAAAACGTAGCCAATATAAGGCTCGTGAAGAAATGTTAATTTTAAAAACAACAGCATATTTTTTATATACATATTTTTTTTTTTGGGGGGGGGGTGACGATTTATGATTACAATCCCATTTACAAGAACATTAACAACACCCTCAAAATATATCACAAAATAAAACAACACAACAACAGCAACAACAACAAAAAAACAATGAAAAAAAAAATCTCTGAACTGAGTGACACAGAGGTCAGTGGACATAATCCTTTCAATAACAGACAATTATATTGTTTGAACAGAACAAAACTGTGTTTTCGTGATCAATTCAATGACCGTTCCCAAGCACTATCTCTCACGAATTATTGACGAAATGTATACACATGCAGGGGCGGTCTGTTAACTGGCCGAGACCGGTCAAATTTTTGTCAGCTGGACTGTTGACAAGAGATTTATATCTGATGATGATTTTCATTCAGTTTTAAGTAAATCCAAACAAACACGTATCAACATTCAAAAACGTCTTGCTGATTTGAAGGCGCTGAAATAGAGAAGTGGGATTCACTGCTGTTTTGTCGCGACAGAGCCTCATTCCTTCACGTTTGTTATCGCGCCGGTCGTAACTTTAAATCATCTCCTGTCAAGCCGTCATGTCGCGGAACTTCGTACTACGTACGAGGCCAGACTGAACACGGCGATGACGTCAGTCTGAGTCCTGTGGACAAATCCATCGACTGTCCTCAGAGCGAATAGTACATCCCTTAATTGCCAAATTGGCCTCTTTGTAGCTTACAAAATCAAGAATGAGACTGTCATGAGCAGCACAGACACATGTATTATTTTTTCAGCAAAACATGTATTTATCATTCAGCCTTTCTCTAACTACTATCAGAACATTTATTGTCAGCATGGCACTAATCTTTTTTGTTTATTGACTTTTTAACCACCTATAGTTCCTGTTTGGCATTCACTCATCGTTTTCTCCCCACTAATAACTTACCTGGCCCATAGGAGTCTGGCCGGCGAACGGAGGAATCGTCTAGTGAAGATATATAAGGAGAATTTTAACGAGGAGCGATAGGCACTCGGCTGTCAGAGTCTGGGCCGAAAACAATAGACCTACCCCCTCCCTTCCCTCTCCTTTTCCACCGTCACCCCAGCTAGACACCAAATTCTATAATTAGCATTTGACACACTTCCCCACTTTGTTACAACACAGTGTTCTGTTCTGAGAACTGAGAAGGGCGATGAAGAACATTTGATGATTAATGATCGGAAACTGTTGTGTGCTTTGTAACTTGTATAGTATCCTTAGCGTGGATCTACTTGGGACAGCGTCACTGGTACGGTATCAATTGACTTTTTGTAATCATACAGGACAGCTTTTATTACATATTTAATGGGTCTAGTGATTGTCGATATTTTGTGTGGGGGGTGTAGAAAGTACGAGTAAAATACTGGAGGCCAAGACCAGCAGTTTATTTGCCTCTCACTTTCAGTTTGTTTTCTAGTAGTGTTTCTTTTTCTGTGCCGATCAAGTCAGTTTCTATTAATTTAATCTCAGTAACTTCCATCATACGTTATTCATAATATTGTGTCTTGACACTACCATATTTTAGCTCTTTCACATTATATGAATATTACAATGTTCACAGTGGTATGTGTGTGGGTGGGGCAGGGGGTGGGGATGGCGAAAGTAGGGGTATAAAATAAGGAGAGAGAGAGAGAGAGAGAGAGAGAGAGAGAGAGAGAGAGAGAGAGAGAGTGTGTGTGTGTGTGTGTGTGTGTGTGTGTGTGTTGTGAAGGAAGGGGGTGGGGGAGGGAGAAATAGTCGACGTGAATGACGGCCGGTCAGTTCTATAAACCACGAGCCGCCACTGCACATGTATATATTATTATCTCCAGGTCTCTCATTCTCTCACACTTTTCTTTTGTTTGTTTTCGTCTGCGCTTCCGCCCTAATGAAAAGAGAACTGAAAGAAATAGTTTCTTTTCATAATGGAACCTTGAGCATTTTACATAAACTTTGACTTACACTCGCCATTTTCATCTAGCTTTTGACCATTGCGTAAGTCCATGCTGCAATTTGAATCCTCTTCCACGACTGAAGCTTCATATCCTGGGGGAAAAAAAGCAGATGATGAAATAATATTAATAAGCATATACTCATTTCCCTAGGACACACATCTTTCTATACAGGATGTAGGATGTTACATCGATGCAGGCCACCCTGGTCTGAGTTCTTTACATGGCGTTCTTGAATGTTGATATAATTATATATAACATTTATATAGCGCATTTCCAAAAAAGTAGCTCAATGCACTTTACACTGGACTGACTGGAATACCCATTTTTCAAAACCGTTCTTACTACTTCCTTTCTTCTCATGCAATATATATTTATGCACGCGCGAACACACACACACACACACACATACACACACACACACACACACACACACACACACACACACGGACTATTTTCATTCAGACATAGACACAGAAGAACTATAATAAAAAAAATAATAACGTTAACAGCTTATGGAGGATAGGCCTGTCGGAACAGAAGATGCTTAAGATGTCTTTTGAAGCTATCAAGTGTTTTTGTTTGTTTTAGTTCCATGGGTAATCCGTTCTACATAAATGGACCAGGATATGAGAAAGAGCTCTTTCCATATGATTTGTATGATTTTACGGGTGTCACAAGTAGGGCGTTATCGTTTGATGATCATAGGTTTCTCCCTGGCTTATATACTGATAAGTTCTTGTAGATAAAAAAGGAGCAGTTTTATTTACACATTTGAAACACATGACACAGATTTTAAATATCATTCTTTCTTCTACAGGGAGAAAATGCAGTTCTTTAGTGGAGTGACATTATCTCGTTTTTTAGATCTTGTTATCAGTCTAGCGGCATTGTTTTGAATTACTTGTTAGGAAAAGTGTATGTTGTGTGAGTGGGGCGAGAAGGAAAGTCAACAATATTGCTGTACACATAGGCTCTCTGGGTAAACCGAGGACTAGGTGGAAAGCTTACTTTCTGAGAGCACGGCATTTAAAAAAAGAAACAGCAACAACAAAAAATTCAGCAACAAAAACTGGAGTTTTTATGACTATCTGAGCTTTTAATTTCTGATATATCTTATCTGGCTTTTCTAGGGTGTGGGTGAGGGGTGGAGGGCAAGGTTAAAGACAACAATACTACGAACGACAAAACTAAGAAAAACCATGTCAAAGTTATTGGTCCTTCGGATCTCTCCAGAAGAGACGAAGTCATTTTTACTCGATTGCGCATCGGACACACGGCCCTGACCCACAAATACCTCCTACAGGGAGAGGAGAAGCCGTTCTGTGTCGGATGCGACACAGAGTTTACCATTAGACACATTTTAACAGAATGTCTAGACTTTGGAGAGATCCGAAAGAAATATTATAAATGCAAGAAATTGCAGGATATTTTCTCCGTCGTTGTTCCCAGCAGAATTTTAAATTTTATAAAGGCCATTGGCCTTTATGGCGAGTTGTAAAGTGAATCTGATATTATTTAAAATTTTCATTGTTACTTAAAAGTTGTTTTAGATCACAAATGTATTTACACCGAATTTGAATATTTTAACTTTTTAGCATTTTAAAGTAAATTAGTTACCAGTCGTGAAGTGAACTTTCGCAGAGGTGAACAACTTGTGTTTCGCGCGCTCATGTGGCCTTAGCAGTTGCGAGCGCCGTAAAACCTTATACTACTACTACTACTAAAAGTTATTGGTGATACATAATACTATAATGCTCAGAAGTGTGCGAAGTATCACACTCAAATTCAAATGTAGGCTTCTAGGTTAGGAAACATTATACATGTAGAACGTTATACATGTATTGGGGTTTAGATACAACACAAGAAAGGCTCTTTGAATTCGTTCTACTGGAAAATGTTAGTGATTAAATTTCGTTTTTTTACGCCCCAAAAGCGGGTATGGCAATGCTGGTTTTTACCTGAGCCAGCTACAGCCTGATACAGCACCGACTTGTCATCATCTGTTTCTGTGGGAGGCAGCTTGTGTTGACTTGAGGAGGGATCTCCTGTGCTGCAGTAAGTCCTCACTGGAAGTGTCCACGTAGTGACCATTTGGTCAGGTTTCGGGAGAGACTCACACAATCCGTTCCCTGAGCGTATCATCGCCTGGTACGTGTGTGGCTGTGGTTGTTGCTGTTGTTGTACTTTGGACATAATCAATGGGCTGCAGAAATTCTCAGATGGAATTTCCACGAGACCGGAGTGGGGTACATTGTGGGATTTTAATTCCTCGCAACTTGTAGAGGATTCTACACTTGAAACACTCAGCACGTTTCTCGGTGTCGATGGATTCAGCTTGTTTTGATCTATCTCCAGCAAAGGTTTTCTGCACCTCAGTAAACTGACTTTTCTCCGCTTCTGGCAGTTCTTGGAGCCGGTGGGCCTGCCTCGTTTAGACCCTGCTTTAATTTTAAAAGAGCCGGGGGACTTCATCCTGCTAAGATTGGGTTTCATTGCAAGCTGGACGTAATTATTTCGGTGTGCTTCTTCCAAGCTGTAGAACCAGTCCCCATCACGTTGACCATCCACAGGAGGAGCAGGAGGAGCTGCTAATTGATGAGAAACGTGAGTAAACGAGAGAGGGGGATCAGAGGCAGCTGGAGTACTGGATGACGACACTGTGGCACTGCACCACCGACCCACATCGTAGGAGTCTTGGTAGCTGGAGGAAAAAGGGTCGCCATCTTGAGAAATAGCCGACAGAAGGTGTTTGTTTTTAGTGGAAGGGTCCATTCGACAGTTAGCTATAAGTTCACAGATGTGGTGGAAGTACGGCGTGATCAAATCGATCAGAGTAACGATATTAGTGTTGTACGAGTCTGTGAGGATGCCTATGGTCTTGAAACAGCGGTTTCCACTGACGTCCTTGGCCCAGGCTTGCAGCGTATTGCCGACGGTGACGACAGCTTCTCCCAGCCTCAAGATACACATGTTGAGACTCCCCGACCTGGATTCTTGTGTCCCTTTCACCTGTCTATAGGCAGCGAAATCAGCATTGCACAAAGTTCTCTCTGCGTTGCACAGCACGTTCAACGTAGCAGCCAGATCTGCTAAAGGCTTGTTCAAGGGCTCCAAGCAGGATAAATGTTTTATTTGTTTAGTGATGGAAACTACAGAAGGATCGGGTTTAGTGCTGGTTGCTGTTTCCCCTGGGGTGATGTCAAACCTTTCCACAGTCCGACTACCGCTATGGTGGCTCATGGGGAGGGCATGTGGTAAGCGGGGAATAACTGGGTTGTGAGACTCACCATCAGCCTGAGGTAAAGGATGAGCATCTTTACAATCAAAGCTGACCACAGGAATAACAATGTTATTGTGAGAATCAGTCCTATCGTTGGCCTCAAATCCCTGTTCCTCATGGGTAAACACATTTTGTTCACCGTCGTTGCCGATCAGTCTAGATTTCACAAACTTGTTAGGCTTCTCTTGATCATCATCCAAGCAAAAATGTTCACGAGTTGTTTCCGAAGGCTCGTTTGACAGCATTTTCGTGCCCATCGTATCCTTCAAGTCACATGGAACAGCTCTCTTATTTTCTAATTTTTCCAAAGGATTTTCTGACACAAAGTTCATCGTTTGACCCATCATCAGGCCAGGCAGTGAGCAAGGCGAGTCGGTATTTTCCCCAGGTTTGACTCCCAGCCCTTCTTGTACTCCGTTGGTGGCATCAATAGTATTAGAGGGATCCGTTCCAGAAACTTTTTCATCCTCTTCCGAAAAGGACAAGATGCTTGTGGCTTCTTCCTCCCTCGGAACTGAAATTGGCTTCCCTTCTGACATGTCTTCCTTCATGTCGAGAAACTCTTTGGGACTCATCACTCTAGAGCTGCTGCACTCCTCCAGTATTTTCTCCTCCTCCTCCTCCTCCTCTTCTGGGGATAATGAGACAAATTTCTCCAGCTGTTTCTTGGATGGAGAAATGTTATCACGGATTATCTCTCCGACGCAACCTAGTCTGTACTCTCGGAAGCCCAGAGCGGCACGGCACAGATCTCTCAAGGTTGGAACTGGCTCCAACTTGGGCGCGTTGAGAGTGGTGATGATGTGACCTTTCATCCCTTTACCCAGGTCAGGACCCCGCGATAGTGCCTGAGAATCTAACAGCACAGGCACCGAGAGTATTTTGCGCCGGGCTAGGGGGAAAGAAGAAGGCAAGATATGTCTGTACTGGTGCACATTCACGGAGGAGTTTTTCATAATGTGTGAAGAAGATACTGCTGCCAGAGCCCCGTGGTGACCCTCACACTGATAAACTCTTAGAGGCATTTGGGGCGACTCACCCACATCATGGTAACCTTTCTCTCCGGCTAGTGCAGCACTAAGAGCCAGGTTTGCCTCTTGGGACTCTAGATCCGAGGGTGCTTGTTTTTTCTCATCACTGATCCAGACACTCGGGACAACGTAGATGTCCTCCACCCTCTTCCCACTGGGCATATCTATAGTCTTCATGAAGGCAAGCTCTGGGTTATCAACACAATTGAGTTTCTCCTTCTCATGGACCATCTGTTCTAAGGCAAGAGCAGCTTTTTCATCCTCGTTTTGAGACTTCTGCCGGACAAGTTTCACAAGTTGCAGCTGTGGCGACTGCTCACGTCTGAAATATGGCCGCATGAACAGCTCAGAGTGAAACTGGCGAATAGGCTTCCTCCTGCGGCCTCTTTTTGACCTATTGAGAGCTCGGCGCCCGACAGACTTGCACGAAGGAGAATATCGTCCAAACTGTGTCTCTATATCTGAGGCCAACCGTTCATCATTCTCAAAACATTCCTTGGAGGAGGCGTACAAGCCAGTTTCATCTGCAGATACTGTGTCTGACCCCGGCAGTTGGACGCTGTAAGACCAGGAGTTGGCTACATCTCCTCTTGTCTCTAGAGGCTGGTGTATAAACTGTGATGGGTGCACCACTCCCAGTGAGTGCACCGTGGCCGTGGGGACAGTGCCCCGCAAAAGCAGCGGTTTTTGAGCACCGCCAGCCTCCAGTACATCTCTACTGCTCTCTGTGCCGGCGCTGCACAGCTGCCCCCCGTCCAGGGTCATGTCGCTCAGACTGTTGGAATCACTTGTGTTCAGAACGTCACTGTTACAACCAGCTTCTGCAACGGTATCGGAATTCTTTTCCAACATTTGAAGCAATGCTTTTAGATTGAGGTCCGGGGACGTTGCCAGGTTGTTGGACTGTAGGAGAACCCCCTCCCCGCTAACGGACAAGGCGATGGCTTCTGCACTTCTTTCAGCGTCGTTATCCTTGAGCATGGGGTGGCTCTTGGGTGCTTTGTAACCCTGTGAGCAAATAATGGGGGCTGAAACAGAATAAAAACTACTCTTCTCCATTGTGTCAGCTGACGACAATTCTATAGAACCCTCTGCTTCCCTTGGAGAACCATTGTCATGTTGAGCGGAATCTTGCTCCACTGTGCAGCACTCACTTCCAGTGGGAGCTACCAGTTTCACCACGTAATTCTCCCCCAGCCTTGACTTGATCCACTGCGGTAGGTCCCCGTCTTCAGGTTGTTCCAGAGTCCACACAGCTGCAGGACCATCATCCTCCTTGCTGACCAAGTCAGAGACGTCTTGTACCACAAAATCTGCCATCGTATTCTGAAAAGTATGAGATTAACACCAAAAAAAAAGGAAAAGTTTTAATTCCACTGATATTTATAGTTTGATGCCATGTACAACAATCGACAGTCTCAGAATAGAATATATTTAAAAAATGGCCTCAAAGAGTTCAGCGTATGAAGCATTATTGGACACCAAATAAAGTCCAAGATTCCTTTATTGAGTACAGTGGTGTGTTTGTAAACAGACAGTCTAGTTATACACTACACGAATAGTGTTATGTAAAATAATCAACGATTTGTTGGAGTGAAAGCACTTGTGTAGTTGTAAAGCACATCACCTGCTTAGTGTAAGACTCCGTCATACATCATTTTGAAAAGTGACATACGGCGGAGTCTTACGTCGAGGAGTCAACACAGAGTATGCTGTAAAGCATGGATATGTGCAATATAGATACTGTTATTATTAATATTATCAGGGAAACAATAATGTCACACAAATCATTACTGGAATGATTAATGCACCCCATCTAACAATGGAAGAGACATTTGCATTTCTATGATCAGATGCACATGTAAGGACTTGACTTTGGTATTTTCTATTTTTACTTTCTTCTTTAGGTAACTTCAACCACTGAACCAAGTTCATGTAATCATATCATGCCTTCAGACTGATTTATTTGTGTCCAGCAAAAGGACATTAAACTCACAGAAAAAATACCTGAACTTTAAGGAAAATTACAACACAGCAGCCTGCTATTGCCTCATCACAAGAATCGAATAAGTACATGAACAGGCAATAGCATACCTGTCTGTCATCTGGATCAAGATCCTGAAAAAAAAGTCATAATAAAAGTACTCAATTTCTGGTGTGTCGTGAGGAAAAATCACAAACACTTTGTATTTAACAACATTCTGTTTCTACTTCTACCATTACATGAACCGTAATTTTGTTTAAAAGCCTGATACCTCTAATGTCATCATTGTGTCATTTGCAGCAAATTTGCTGCATGAACTGGGTTTCCATAATTTTGTGCCAAACTGCCCAAGCATGTCATAAGCCAGAGTGAAAACAATAAAATAAACACTCACTCACACACACACAAACACAGAGTGACTTACGCTCGTATTCTCACGTTTAGCATAAATTGCAGGCCTTTAGCTCAAAACAAAACAGAGACTGACGAATTAACGCTTTCAGTACTAAAGTGTTCCCGTTTATGTTTGCACAGGCAAGATAAAATTGTGCATTCAAAAAGAGATTCAAACAAAGCCATTACAAGTATGTTTCCCCATATAAGAATAACCAGCTGCTCAAGTTACAAGTAGTAGGACCGACTTCTTTTAAAATTTAAATATCTTCTATAAGCCAGTAGAAAAAGCGACAGTGAATCAGTTTGGGAGAACACAAATTGCTGCATTACCACATGCCATGATATGAGTATTCACAGCAGTGAAGAGGTTTAAGACAGATTAGGATCAAGAAAAAAGCAGTGCAGCATAATTATAATATTTACGACTAATAGAAAATCAGTGAGGTTTAAATAAAAACCCACTAGCTGCTCTGTAAGACCATTGGGTTGCACTAAATTTAATGGTAACTTAGACAGGAACAACGAGTTTTGTAAAATTTTGTACTTATAGCAATTATAATGTTTTGTATAACATCGATGATGCACATATATATTTAATACGGTGATGCTAACCTTCTCTCTGCCAGCATGGGTGGTATTGTCAGATGAAAATATGCCAACTTGTTTCGAGCAAGTAAGACAAAAGACAGAACTATCTGTTGTTCCTACATCCAGCCACTGGGTTTTCACACACTGTCGATATAAGAAACAATATAAACACCAAGGAATAAGAACATGTATATTATCCACTTGATACTAATAAAAAATTAGTAATCAGCCTAGTTTTTCAATCTGCTTAAGGATCCAAAAACATTGACTTTCATACATCTTTTATGACCATCAATACATTATCCATGCATTTACTTTTACATCTTCGGTGTGGTAACTTTTCATGGTACATAATAATATGATTGTAAATCTGTCTTGTGTATAATTCAGAATCAGTACTGGAGTCCGCCCATTCAATTCATCTTGTACTATTTTCTTAACGTATTATTTTTACTTCCAATCAATACAATTTAGATCATTTTAAGAGATCGGCTTCGACCCTGCCAACCAGGGTCAATCCAGGCTGACAGGGATACAACTACAACGTCCCAGCAGAATGAAGAAAATCAATAAAAATAATTCCCATTGGAAATCGAACTAACCTTTTTGCGTGCAACGGTGAAGTGCCTAACCACTAAACCAAAGTAGCTAGTCTTATAATGAAAAAAAAAAATGGTTAAAAAAGGTGACATCGTCATTGATATTAAAATGTTCGGTTAAGTAAAACCAAACGAGAGCTAATTTTCTGGTTTTAAAATACGGGATCATTTATAAACTGGCCCATTCCATGAGCGGTCCACCAAAACGGGGATAAAAAATGATAGTGATGAAATCAACTCAGCGCCATGTGAAATCATGACTAGAAAGGTTTATAGGTGTAGTTCTTAACTCAGAAACGGCAGAAATCATCTCTTCCGTACAAAAAAACAAAACAAAACAAAAAAACGCATAGAGAAAAAATAGACAGAAAAAATGTCATGGCAAAGACAAACATAGACTTACCATCTAGTAAGGAGTTTCTTTTTTCAATGATTGAATAAAATAACCAAGTTATCTTTATGTTTGTATACTCTCTTAGGGTGTACTCTGTTCGTTTTAGCAAGGTTTTACGGCGCTCGCAACTGCATTAGGTCATACTATGAGCGCCAAGGGGTGATGTCAACAGAGAAGTTTAAACGGAGGATGTACTTTGCTGGAGTGCAAAAACAATTCCTGGTATAATGCATATGTTGCAACCACATTACACAGAATGTCCACCTCTCGTGTCATTGTAACACACGTAATATACAAAAGTGTTTCTTCACAACTAGAAAATAAAGCTATAATTATAATCAAATGCTTTCCATGAAAGCATTAAGCTGATGATATGAAATAACTCAGTAATATCAGTTTTTGTGAACGAAGTCCCTGAATTTTGTAAAATGGGGTCGAATTCATGTAACACACGTAACGTTACATAAAAAGTTACGTATTATATGTTACATTTGTTCGTAATATGCAAATCTTCAAAGTAATGATAGAAACAGACGAAGCAAAGAAAATTAGCATACACAGAAACATATCACAATGGAACAAACTGATGTTTAAAGCTGAAATTGAAACCAACCAGGGGACCAAATAGGTATTAGTGTAGTGATCTGCTTTATGACATTTTCTGAATCATGGAATCGTAAATTTCCTCTCTCATTTCCAAACCCCATCCAGTTTCCCGTAAAATTTCACATGGCATTCACCCTTACACTCCTGTCCCCTTTCCCTGTGACTTCTCCATGGCATTTTTTCTCATCGCATCTCACAAGGACCCAATCGCCAATACTAACAGTCATCACTTCCAGATGAATCACTTGCATTCATAAACCCGTCTAAGTACAAAATGTAATACACATTGCATAGAGGTCATCAGTTCTTGTTTGTCGTTTGAGTGCATTGTGACTTACCTGAAAGGTTCTCCTGTAATTCAGTACATTTTTTAAACTCCAGAAACTCTAATTTTGTCAGGGTCCTCTAGTTTGTGAGCAGTATGATTTTACGTTTGGCATGAGCAGCCGATATTTCCATGAACATTTTCTTAATTTCTGCACTGAATATATCATACAACACCACTACCACTGAAAGTTGCCATTTTCTTTGATGGTGATACAAGGAAAGAAAAGAGTACTTTATTCACAGCCTTTGACAAAGCCAGTTTTCTCTTGCATCCTTTTCTGGCTGATGTTGCAACTTCAGCATGGCTTGTTTTAGCGCTACATTCATTCTTCTTCAACCGATGCGTTGTGACCCTTCAGGACATTGATCTACTGTCTGTATTCATTCCTGTCAGATTCTATCATTATATTTCACTTTAACTTGAGCAATTACATATATAGATCTAGATTCTAGATCTAGACCTAGAGATTTAGTAACAAAAGTAGAAGGCATGAAAAAAACCTACATTGTAGGAGTCCAATTCTGATTCAAACACCAAACATTTGATGCCATAAATTTAGAGACAGGGGGAATAAGCCTAGATCTAGATTCTGGATCTAGAATCTATAGATCTCTAGATCTAAATCTAGATCTAGAATCTAGATCTAGACTCTAGATAAGGGAAGGACTTCTGTAACGAGCGACCACTATGAGACAGACCTAGAATCTAGATAGATTCTAATCTAGCAGAAGAAACAAAACAGAAAACCAAAGCCTTGAAAGCTGAACCGTGAACGCCTTGCCGACACTGGTCCATGAATGATGGATTGGAGCCCTTTGGGTTAGATCTAGATCTAGATAGTTTGAAGGACAAAACAGAAGATCTCGAGTGAAATAATAAGAGAAAACAGTGCCCAGCTTTCATTAAATTCCATTTTTCTGTATTACTCACTGAGAAGCACAGTGTGTGTCCGCATGTTAGGGATGTCGGTGCCGGATCTTGATCGATGTTCCATGAATACACCCTCTGACAACACGGGCAGGAGTGATACTCGTGCTGTGCAGTGACAGGAACACCCACACATGAACTTCGACTCGGCTCGCTTACTCCTGCCATAAGTCTTTTCCTGCCCACATATGTTTCTGTCTTCATAGAAATATAGGCTAGATCTAGATCTACCAATACTTTATTTTGCTGGAATACGACAGCCTTGAAAACTGAAATTGTGTGCCATTAAACTTTTGGAAATGACAAAAAAGGGAATGATGACAGCAGTGATTTGACTGTTAAAACGAAAGAATTAATTTTGAATTTAAGAGAAAAAAAATTGGAAATTTCATATTTGCTTTTTACCATGTATCAATTCCATAAAAAATGCTTTATCGGTTGAAATACAAATTTCTCAATCAACATAACTTACGAGAACAACATAACTTACAAAAAAAAAACAAAAAAAACCAACAACATTGTGCGTGTATGTGCATCCCCGCCTTCTCTATAATCCCCGTTTCGTTTTTTCATGACCAGAAATCTATATTTTTAAACGGCGAAATGGCAGCGTCCAGTAGGCCTAAGTAAGTGTATGAATGAACAAAGTAAAAGTAAAGGTTATTGAAAGCCGGCAAATGTTATGAAAGCAGATAACTTTAATTGAGTGGGAAAAAGGAGACGTAGAATATTTTGTGCCAATAAGACGACAAAAAAGTATAGTCTCTGTGCTAAAAAGCACAAAAAACTAGATCTAGAATCCAGTCCTTGCAGCTTGCTTGAAGTTGAAGTTGGAGTCCCTCGATTCGATTGTAAGTCAAGACCAAGACAAGAAGACAACAAAGACTACTGTAAGTGTAAGTCAGTCCTCGTGCTCGTACTCGTAACTTGTCGTGTCGTATGTAAGACAGTAAGTGTGTTGGTGAAGTAAATCAATAAGTCTTGTATCTATGATCTATTGCATGAGTTCGTCTTCTACAGTCTACAGTACAGACCTCACTTCGGTCGACTTTGACTTGTTGAACAGTTTCAGTGTTGACACATGATATCATTATGCAGCAACATGCGAATAAACATAGTACGACACAAACTATGGTAAATTTTTACTTTCACTCCCGCACACAGATGCACTGTTTCAGGGGTCAAACTGCAGTACTGTTTGCTGCAGATCACACCTCCTAAGGCTACCTCTATTCTCACCCGGAGTGAGAATAGTGCAGGCGAGTCTTGTGGCTAATCTCACCCGGTGCGCGTTCACAAAATTTTGCGTTCACCCTAAACCACAGAATTCTACACTGTGATAACAGAAAAATTGTAGAATTCTGTGCCGTGAACAAACGTTCCATTACAATTGTAGCCTACTAAAAGCGTACAATTTTGTCTGTGGGCAGTGGAGAGAGAGGAGTAGCGCGAGAATTTCCGAGCAAAACAAAATGGCGACCCGCGTAGTTCGGCTCGATTCGAAAAGTTAAATAGCCGTAGCATCTTTGTAGACAACCAAATTTATTTACTTTTGTGTTTTAACATCATTTTTTAACTTTGTTTTGGTCAATTTGATCGTCCACACCGATAGACAGTATTCAGAAAGAGACGGAGAGAGAGAGAAGAGGGGAGGAGTTGATCTTGCGAGAACTTCCGGGCGGGTGAGAATAGCCACTTTCCACACATAAAGCCACTAAAACTGTCGCAAATCAATTATTTTCAAGATAATTTCAAATCTTACTGTAAAATATCCACCTGGTACCCCCGGATTGGTCCAAAGCACGTCTATCTCGGTTAAAAACAATCAAATATTTCAAAAACTATTAATTTGCGACGGAAATGAAGTTGATATTCGTGTTCTGCGCATCAATATTTAGTAGAAAATAGACAACTGGTAGCTGAGTGTGAGACAGGAGGGAAAGTAAAAAAATACGAAGTGATTATTCGGACTCGAGTCCAAATATGAAAAAATTTTATTCGGACTCTGATTCTTGTCCAGCATGACATCACTTCCGACTTCCTGTGACTCGTGACTCCGGCTTCCTGTCCTGCCTCACTCGTGACTCACCTCAGGCTGGGTAGAGACCGGGATCACTTCGAGCAAAAGGCGTTTTGTGCAGGAGCCAAGTTTTTATCTTATGATGAATTTGAGGCCGGCCTGAAAAGTTATTGCACTTCTAATAAATGTTTATTTGTCAAGAGGTCATCAGAAGCAATAAAAGATGGCTCGTTAGCGTGTGTCGGGGTCGGATGGGCGGCCTGCACACGTGTGGCTGTGTGCGTGTCAGGGAGGGGGGTGGGGGTGGGGGGCACTATCGATCCGGGCGTTGAACGTCGCATACGCGTCAGTCCCCCCCCCCCCCCCCCACCCCCCCGACAACTGATCATTATTACAATAATAAGCTAGTCTTGACGTAGATCTACGCAATGAATTGTGCGCTGGTCTATGGAATCAAAAGTTGCCGTATGCTCAGCTCTACACAGCAACACAACTTTTTCTGGATAAACAGCTCATAATATGCAGGTGCCAGGTGGTCTGCTAATCTTCAATTTCACCTTTTTCTACAACAAAGAAAGTGGGAAACATGGGGGGTGGGGGGGGGGCGTATCAATAAGGCATCGGGCATCGGATCGGCAGAAAAGGTGTGTGTGTGTGGGGGGGGGGGGGAATGGCGGAAAATTGGAAGCACTGAACGTTAGAACTATAGAACGAAGACACTTCCTTTTCTCCGGACCCGAGTCCGAATAACATTTTTTCATATTCGGACTCGAGTCCGAATAAGAATTTTTTTTTATTCGGACTCGAGTCCGAATATGAAAAAATGTTTTTCGGACTCGAGTCCGAATAATGACGGCCAAAAAAATACTCAAACTATTTTTAGGTAAGGCGCCCATCTTGTTTGACGTCAGACCAGGATACCCCTCCGATCACGTGACTACATCTAAGTATAGCCAACTGCATGGCACCAAGGATGGAAGTGTCATGTATCTCACTGATTATTCTCACCCGGGGTGAGAATAAAATTGATACTATTCTCACCCCGGGTGAGAATAACGACAGCCCACTATTCTCACCCGGTTTTTTCGTTTCGTGCATCATCTAGGACCCCTGTCACTGAGCGCTCCAGGCGACAAAACTCGTCTTCCTCCTCTCTCACTCCGCTGAGCGTGCGGCGACTAAAATCGCCAACGGGCCGGCCAGTTCTCGAGCGCGGGAGGTGGCCATTGTCGATTTGGGGGAAAACCTTATTTTTTGAGCAAATAACGTCACCTTTTGTTGCTACAGTATTAATTTAATGGAACATTTTACTCTTGAATAGTTTAACCAATCAAAATTTTGTGAAAAAAAATACGCCTTAGAAAGGGTCAAGGGGTCAAGGCACTGCGTTCTTTAAAAATAATCGTGGGTTCAAGGCACTGTGTTCCTTAAAAATAATCGTGGGTTCTGCTAGGGATAACAATATAACATGTTTTTTGTGTTGTAAACAAATGCCAATTCTAACATTACAATGACAAACTATTACTAGATCTAGATCTAGATCTAACTTTATTTCATGAAACAGCTTTTAGTTAAGGCTATTATTTTTAAAAACATACTCTACTCTGGCAAGTGAATTCCTTTCTGAATTTAGAATATTTACATTTGTCTAGGGTTTTGGTGAAGATATTCGTGCATACTCTCAACTAAAGACTTTAAAAAATGAAACAATAACAATCCCCGCGGGAGCCTAGAAAAATCGGCCAGCGGTCTGGGGCAGGTCGGGAACGGTCGCTCTCTTACAATTCACAAATTATTTTCTATCATCCGTTCTCAACACCCAGGTAGACCCAAAAAATCCATTGCATTCTCAGACCGGGTGAGAATAATATTCATTTTATTCTCACCCGGGGTGAGAATAACAATATAATATTATTTTCACCCCGAGTGAGAATAAAATTATATTGTTATTTTCGCCCCGGGTGAGAATAACGACAGCCTCTATGTATATCAACCTTAATCTACCTGCTCTCGCTGTTGGAAGTTCTGATGGACAAATAGACAGCGCAGTCTGCGTTTGAAGTCATGCAGTGATTTTATGAGCGGTTCGATCCTGGTCCCGGACAGGTTTTTCTTCTTCTCTTCTCCTCTCGACTGACCAACAGTCCCATAAATTATAATTTGTTGCTTTGTAGTTGTTTTAAAAAAAAATGTTATATTAGTGATGAAGAATGCAGGGGGGGGGGGGGGGGTAGATCTACATCTAGATCTAGATTTAATCCTCCAGCGTCTTTACGGCAATTTTCGTGCGGTTTATTGTCTTTGCGTTTACCGTGTTTCAATTTCAAGCATCAGCGTTCTTAATCTTACTAATTAATGTTCTGAGCATCAACGATCTAGATCTAAAAAAAAAGCGATCTTCCATCATGTCAAAGTACTAGATCTGGGAAATCCTAAATGTTACTGAAAACACGTCGTTCCATGCGGTTACTTCACGGCCTTCTAAATAATAGTGAGTAGGTATCCTAGAAAGTGATGACATCCCATTACTAAAATTAGCAGCCAATCAGAAAGATGCGTCTTCTATGTTTAACAGCATACGTTGCAGCAACAGCATGTTGTTGTTGATCATTCATTGATAAATCTAGAGTCTAGAATCTAGATCTAAATATAGATCTAGATCTAAATATAGATCTAGATCTAAACTTGCAAAAGCAAAAAATGCTGAATTGTAAATAACATTTTTGTTTGCAAAACCTAACCTAAAATGGGGCCTATTTGTGAGAGTTTGAGACGAAACCAACCAAAGGGTGCCTTATTGACATGCATGCTTTAAACACCTGAATAATTAATCATAGACCTTTGTACTCTACAGGTTTCGGTGAATAGGGCCTTAGAACCTTTAAGTACGGCTAGACTGGCAGGCTAGCTAGCCGTAGTTAATGACGGCTTGGCTAGGCAGGCAAGCCGTAGCCTACTTAATGATGGCTAGACTGGCAGGCTAGCCATAGGCCTACTTAATAATGATGGCTAGACTCTAGCCTGACAAAAAAAGCAAAAAATACTGAATTGTAAATAAAATTTTAGTTTGCAATACCTAAAGTATTTGTATTTCAGATGAAACCAAAAGGTGTCTTACTAACATGCATGTTACCGCTGTTAGGAAGCGGTACTTTAGTTCGCAGGCAGCCAGCGGGCTGCACCTTGTAATCTGACTCGAGTGGGGGGGGTCACGAACTCGTGGCCAAGGGAATTCCCCGTGTCCCACTGACAGCCTTGTTCATTTCATTTTTAGGACAATTAAACTCGCAAAATATGCCGATCGGTGACTTTGCCTCATTTTATTTTGCCTGTTTGGAACAAGAGGGAACTTCTGCACTTACTGAGAAAGATGCAAAATTGTATGAAATAACGATAAATATATATATCGTTCCAAAAATGGCTCATATTTTAACATTGCCTTTGGGGGAGGGGAGGGGGGGTTGATTTTTAAATCAACATTTCAGTCAGACAAAACCCCCAAAATTCTTCAAATTCACTTAAAATACACCAGAAATGGTCAAATTTCAAAACTCACTTTGTTGTTTTTGTGCCAAGTCCACGGTTTTGGAGTAGTGAAGAGTTGATTACAGTATCACCTTTTTTTTCTTTGTGGGAGGCACGTTGGATTATAGTTCTGGATTTGGCATGAGGTGCTGAGATTGCATTACAACTTTCAGCTGTTGTTTGATTTTAGGTATCCCAGCTCCTCTTCTCTCTAGAAGCATGGATAAGTTCACCATCCTGTTCCCCATGTAAAGCCAAACCAAACCCATATGTCTGTATCCACGGGATGCAGTGGTTTTCTAGAATGTGGTGTTCGGGAAGTACCTTTTCACAAAAGTGTCTCCTTTATAATGACATGTAAGTTTTGATGCATGTGTCAATGTGTGGTAGTCTGTCTTTTGACACTGGTTGGCCGTGTGAGATGTGGATGTGAATGCCCCTAAATGCGTTGTTTAACTGACTCAATTTTTTTCCGAAAGTGTAAGCGGTGTCAATTATGTTTTGGCTGTCGGTATTTTCTACTATTTCTTTTACAATAAATGCAGTGAGGTCTTTATAAATGCGACTCATCATGTATTTGTGGCAGTGATTGCCAATGAAAGAGCGGCTGTGATATGCCTGCGGTGTGATGTTGTGTGAGTCAAGTATGGTGTCTAAATGAGAATAGATAGGGCCAGAACAGGGTTAAGGGTTCATGCTCTAACTCAGACAGCCTGTCTTCTTTCTCCGTCAATTGTTCTGGAAAGTTAATTCTCTCCTCTTCAGAGTCAGAAAGTACTGCGCAACCTTCTAAATATCTAATCTTCCCATTTAGTTCCTCGATCCCCAGGGCTCTAGTTTTTGCCATAAAATGTAGAGACGACTAAACTCCTTTATAGTCTTCCTCTGATTGCTCATGTAAAATTTCAACATCTACATTCCCCTACTTGGATGAATTGTACATAACAGCTTGCAATAAAAAAATTAATTCCATCTTTTTAGACTACAAGCATCCCTTGTTCCCTCAAATAAAAACATCAGTCAGAAGTAAAAGACCAGGCTTCTGATCTGTAACAAAGAAAGATATTATATACAAGGTAATTTTTACCATCATCTATCAAAATGCTTCCATCTTAACCATCTTGTTTATAAGTATACTTATGACCTTAGAGCATGCATCAAAATAACATTGAGTGTGTATTTAGCTTACGATTATTATTTTTTATATTGCTGCTCATTTATATTATGCATGTGATTGTAAGCCTACGTGTGTGTGCACACGCGCGCGCGCGTGTGTGTGTACACGTGTTGAAACACCAAACCAATGTGCCAGGATCTGGACAATAAAGATGCATCTTATCTTATCTTATCTTAGCTATATGTCTATTGTGTGTTTCGCTGCCTCTAGCAAACGATGGTGGTTCAGAACAACACCCTGAAGAAAATAAAAGTATGGTGGTGCTACTTTTCGTGTTCAATGTTCATAAGTACTACTTACTTACTTTTACTTTTTCATCCTCTGTTGCCGTTAAGCGTCGAGGGGAGATGCAGTTTTCTATGGTAGGCCATCTCCGCAGCTCTTTCAGTTGTGATATTATGTTTTCTTAGGGTTTCCTTGACACCCTCGATCCACCTTTTGCGTGGCCTTCCTCTTTCTTTATAGCCTGAGTGCTTGGTGTTGTAGGCTCTCGGGGCTGGCTGGTCAGGTGACATGCGTAACAGGTGGCCAAACCATTTTATCCTCTCTTTCTATTTTCTATGTAACGCAGGCAGGACTCAGTGCCGATAGCTGCTCTTACTTCCTCATTTCTCTGCCTGCCTCGTCTTGTGATGTTAAGGGTTTTGCGGAGACATTTCATTTCACATGCGGTGGTTTGCTTTCATGAGTTTTGCTTAAGGTCCAGGTCTGGCACTGATGACATAATGTTGGTATGAATATTGAGGTGATAAGCTGTCTCTTTGTGTCCATGGAGATGTTTGGGTGAAATAGGAGGGGTGCGAGCTGGTAGGTGACAGCGTTGGCTTTTCGAGTTCGCATTTCTATTTCTCTGTCTATGGACCCATTTTCAGAAAAAGTGCTGCCAAGATATTTAAACTCCTTCACCTGTTTCAGTTGTTTACTATTGACATGGATGTTCAGGGGACTATGTTTATAAGTGGGATGTGTAAACTGTTGAGAAAACGAGCATCAAGAGTTGTTTCAGAAAAACCAGGCGGTTATAGTGCCCTAATAGCAATATTTCTTTATGTCTTATCTTGTCCACGCAAACTGTGCAGATGGTTTTTGAATGTACTGTATGTGAGTCCATTGTGATGCTAACACCAGAGGCTAAGAGAATGTCTGATGCAAATTTAGAATCCTGCAGGGGTCGCATTTTCTGTGCCTTCTGCTTGTCTGATAGTATTATGCCACGAAAAGTCCTGTAATCATATAAACTGCTCCATTTTGATCACTATTGTAATGCAAATTTCGGGCCATGATATTCGAAGTGAGTGATTGTTTTTGACTTAAACTGTAGACTTTTTTAACTGAGCAGAATGAAAAAAAAGGAAGGTTTTCTTGATACCTGAGGGTGTATGGGTGGTTTAAAGCTGACCTACTCAACTCGTAACAAAAAAAAATCAGCAAATATCAAGACACTAACAGCTTGGTAAAGTTATGTTGTAAAAAATAAATTTGGACTAATTGATACTGATACCAGACACAGATGTCGGGCAAAAACTTGCTAGAGTCACAGAGTGAAATTAAAACTAAAACATGAAACAAAGAAAAGAAAGGGAAACTGGTTCTGTACACAATAGGATGCGCTCCAAATACACTTAAAACCCCTAATCCTAAGCTAAACAAGTTACCTGGAGGCTGTGCTGATGCTGCCAGAGAATGTACACTTTGAACATTTGCAAATAAAGATGGGAGAGAGCTTTTTTGATGTAGAAGAATTTATAATTCTGTCTTTCAGCATGGTACTTTGAATGAAACTTAATCATTTTATTATTTTAGGATTCTTTCTTCAGGGGTTCATGTTATGATTTTTATATTAATTATATAACTATAATTATAATTATATAATTAATTCATGTTCACAGTATAATTTTAATCTTATTCCAACAGATACCATGGCATCTGTAAAAAGCATTGCTCAAAGATTTCATCTCCGAAGCAAGACTGATGTGTACAGAAGGTGTTTATCTTTAAGGAGACCAGACTTTTTGTTTGAAACAGTGAGGCATCTGACTTCTAGTCCACTTGGACGAACACAGGATCAAAGGCGCACTCACTGTCCACAGTGCGTTAAAGCCCGTCTTTGTCGACTTCGAACAAGTTACATTACCAGAAACTTTTCTTCGAAGAGTGTGTTTGACAACCAGCCACCATCTTGGCTGTTCGTCAGCGGCGCAGTAGCTGGAGCATATGGAGCTCAGGTGAATCTAGAGCTTGGATTGAACGAAAGACTGACTGGGGAGCCTTTGAGGAAACTACAAGAGAACATCAGTGCACGAAAAATGGAACTGAGATTGGATGAACTGGTATGTCACTTCTTTTGTCTGGCTTGGGTTGTAGGCTACATTTGTTATGTCTACTGTTTTTTCATGTGTGAATATGTAGGCATGTATGGTTTTAAATGAAATGTACTATCTATAAGATTTATTCTAATGGACATAGAACTTTGTTCCTATTGAATTCTTTCCTATTGGCGCTCATATGACCTTATGCAGTTGCGAGCGCCGTAAAACTTCTACTAAAACTAACTAAAACACCTTCTTTATAATATAACTTTATACTTTCTTGGTGTGACTGCGGGTACAGGAGAACTTGATTTTAACTTAATAACATGGGCCAGAGCTGTAATCAGTCATTGATTAATTTCATTTAAGTGGTTGTGCTATTATATTACTTAGAAGATTGTGGTCTTTTAAATTTGCTCTTTGTATGTATGAGTTGTATATGTGTTTGTAAAATACTCTTCCTTTGGAACTTTTGTTCTTTATGTTTGAAATTTAAAAAAAATTAAATGCATTAAAGCTTTGATTTCTTACATTTTTAGATCCAAGATTATAACAGGTTACTACAACTGAAGAGAGAAAGAGAAGAACTTATTGCCAAGAGAAATGAACTGTTTCAACAAATTCGTGCTTTGAAATCACAAGGAAAGGTATTGTTACATGAGTTTGAATATTTGCTTTGCACTTAGTTGCTATTTAAGTAACTTTGGAATATTGTGTATAAAAGTAATGCTCAAGTGAAAAATAGAATAATGGCTGAAGTCTAAGAAAGTTATAGTTGTATCCAGTCATCTCTTCTAAAAATTGAATAGATTGCGATTAATGAAAACAAATGTTAAGTTGACATGCACTCTAAAGCGATTTTTGTTCTTTTTCTGTTTCTTTTTTTAAAGTGTGGATATTTTTAAGTTTCAATCATGTCTCTTAGCGTATAACCGCTAGAGCGTGGCCATAGTGTCACCGTGGCCCTTGTCTGTATCTGGCACTAGAAATACGACATGGGGATGTAACTACTACTCTCACACGGTTACAAGATCATTTAGAGCGATGTCCCGTAATATACAACTCCCATTTCCTTGTTAGGATCGCACAGCGTGGTGCCAAAGTTGAATATGCGTCACAATCGTTCCATAATTTTTCTGCAAGCCTAATACTAATATAAACATGAACATGGCCATTTGTGAAAAAAATGGTGGGAGATTGTTATAGTATGTTTGCCCGCCTGGAGAAAGGTCCCAAAACTCAGCAGAGCTCATTCTGAGCTATGGTATAATGGGCTCATAAGTCTAAAAATGTCATTTCTGGTCAAACATATAGTTCCATCAAAAAACGGTAGTTTGCCATTTTTGAACCACATACTGAATCTTCTGAATCGTTGTTTGCCCAAATTTTCATAAAAGAAATTAAGATATGAAAACGGAAAGTCTTTCATTTCTTTCTGATATAACTATGATGACACAAATGCAAACACAACGGCATTCAGAATTTTTTTTTTCTCTGATCCTCACAATTTTATATGCTCTTCATGCTTATATTTGAAAATTAAAGTAATAAGAAAACTGTTAAAATAATTTTGTATTTTTACAAATTCTTAAAAAAAGTGTCATCATAGTTATGTCCGAAAGAATTTGACTTGACGTTACGTAACGCCAGTTACATAGCTTAGCGTGCTTTCTGTAGGTCTGTTAATACATGTTTTTGTAGGAGGAGAGATATACATGAAAGAAAAATTCAAGTAAAAACAAAATATTAAAAACTTTATCATCAACCCTCTGTGCTACATTTTAGGTACCCCACCTATTGGCAAAGGCTCATATATATAAAACTGAAAAATTGTTTGTCTATGAATGAAGTTGATTAAGTGAGAAGATGTGCTGCTTGAAAAGTATTTGTATATATGCACAATATGCGCTACTTTTTCTTTCTTTTTTTGTTGTGCTTTGAATGGCAGATATGCCTTCCTTCTTAAATGTTTGCTTTCAGTCATTTTCATGCATCATCGCCATTCTTTTTTTTTTTTCATAATTAATAATGTACTTTTTTCTTTTTCAAACTCATTTCTTTCTCAGTCATCTGTAGACACTGAATCTTTGTACCAAGAAGCTGTTGCAGTCAAACAAAGGATTAAAAATTCAGTGGTAAGAATTTTTCTGTTTCCTGTTTTATAAAAGTGGCCACACTAATGTCGTGGTTAATTTTATGTACACTCAAGATGTGCAGATTCAGATGGATAGAAGACCTTTGCCTCTTGGAGTGTGAAAGAATGCATACCAGTGAGACTGGTAAAACTAAAGAGTGCATGAAATAAAATAAAAGTGAACCTCTACTTAGATGCAAAGGTGCCTGTGGTGCGGGAGGCATGACCTCAGAGATCAACTTTAGAGTCTGGAAAGAGATAACAGATGACTGCAGCTAATGGAAGAGGGAAATTAAGACCAGTTCCTGGATGAAGCAGAAGGGTGTAGCTGCAAAGCTGTACACTGTTGGCAAGCTGTTTAAATGTATTAAACCCAGAGAGCAACATTTTTCAGGAGAGAGAAAACTGTTTCATCCTTTTAACAATTGTTCAGGATTAGATATGTATTTTTTAAAAATAATTTTTTTTCAACATCTAGAATTTAAATTTCGATTAAAATATTCCTTAAACACATGCAACCGGTACCACACATTAAGAAACTGCAATTTAAAAAAAATTGTGACATATCTGAAAAATGAAGTTTAAAAATGTTATCTTAGACGGTTTCAGGTGTTAATGGCTCTTGTTAGTTATATAAATGTCTTATAATGACTATACCATAGCATGATGACTTATCCTGACTCTTCTATTACAGCTTTTTTTTTCAAATGTTTTTTTGTGTTTGTTTTATGGTGCTTGCAACTGCCTGAGGTCATAGAGCACGCAGGACACATTAAACATTTTAAGGAAATTTGGTAGGAAATTTGGAATTTTGCGCGGGTGGCGGTCGAAGCCTACTCTTATTGATTTTGGGCCCCCTAGGGACCTTTAACTTACACAATTTATACACCTGTCCTCCTAGATTTTTCGCCCTTGTCCGAGAAGGCTAGGTGTCAAATCTTACCTACCATAAGATCAGGGGTGTGGCTGAAAGACAGCAGTAAGAGGAAGCCATGGAATAGCAGTAGAAAGGCTGGAGAAAGGGTCAAGAGTCAAGAGCCCAGAAGAGGGGTCAAAGGAGGTGAGGAGGTGGGGGTAGAAAGTGGAGACCAAAGCAGACAACAGAACATTGTTGGAGAGCTGGAAAGGAGGTGAAAGGAGAACATTTTAGATTTTAGAGAAGAAAATGTTCCGTTGCTGTCCGGATTCGAACTCGGGACCTATTAAATGAGAAGCCAACACCATAACCTCTCAACCACGAGAGGCCTCATTAAAGCTATACAAAGATTAGTTAGTAGCATGATGACTTATCATGACTGTACCATTACATTATAAAAATTAGTTGATAATACCCTAAAAAAATGTGTTCACACTCTAATGATAGTGGTAGGATTTAGTGTTGTCTTCAATTTCCATTCACAGAATCAAGCGATGTGGGATCTTGAAGAAAGTGTTACTCTAAGAGGATTAAAACTTCCCAATGAATTACATGAGTCCACTGTGAGCATACTTTATAATTTAACGGTGTCATGACATGTGATGTTATGTTCTGGATCCAAATTACTTAAACCATCAGTGTTTTTTGTTTGCTTTGTTTTTTTTGTGTTTTTTTGTGTGCTCCCCTTTGTGTTAATGACATGTTGTACAATAACATTTTGTTTTTTTGCTATAAGGAAAGTAGACTGCAGTGGTTGTTTAAACTAAAAGAAGATTTTAGCTTCTTGTATGATGAATAAAAAGCATCCCTTCGTGTTTTTCCCCTTTTTTATCCCTTTTCTTTTGGTAATGATAATAATCCTTGGCTTCACCTTTAGGAAGAAAAAAAAAACAAGATCTAATTTGCTGATGAGATCTCTGCTTGATGACCAATCATTTTTACATCTATGCAACGTTGGTCATATGGATTCTAGCTGTGGTTGTTGTGTCTCTTTAACAGTTCTTTTGAAATTAATTCTGTGTCTGAGGAAGACCTGAGTTTGATCCCCAAGTGGGGTCAATATTGATCAAGTATCTTGGCCCTTTTGACGTGATTTTGTTTACCTCTCGGCCCAGGTTGGCCCACATGCACGGTCGAAGCCTGCATCTTTGATAATCTAAAATGTTTTTTCTTAAATTAAGTGCATTACTTTTTTCAGCTTTGCTCAGAGTTGAACATTACACTGCTGGAGGTCCTGCTTTTGAAACAAACTTACTGCCTTGGAAAGGGACATTAATTTAAAAGCTATACCATACCGTTCCAAACTTTTATGTTGTGTTCATGCTGCTGAAAAACTTCAACTATTCTTAAATGGGACTTCATATTTTTCAGCCCCTGAGTGATGCATCTCAAATTCTGCAAGAGAAAGAGGGAACAAGAGGTGAGTGACTTGCACCTTCCTTTATACTTGCGAACTGACTCTCTCTCTCTCTCTCTGTCTCTCTCTCTCTCTCTCTCTCTGTCTCTCTCTCTCTCTCTCTCTCTCTCTCTCTCTCTCTCTGTCTCTTCTCTCTTCTCTCCCTCTCTCTTCTCCCTCTCTCTCTCACGCACACACCTTTCTGTTTTTACTCCCATTGGATAAAGTGTTGGGTGTAAGTCTATCGGAGTCTCATTTTGGGAACTTACTTGACCTACTCTTCACTTGTCCAGGGTTGGAAAGATCTACACCTAGCCTTCTCGGACAAGGGCGAAAAATCTCTGGAGGGCCCGTGTGCAAGTTGCGCACGTTAAAGATCCGTTTGTGGTCTAAAATTGATAAGAGTAGGCTTCGGCCGCCACCTGGGCAAAATTCAAAATTTCCTACCAACTGAAAAGTATAAGGTGTGTCCCGCGCGCTCATATGACCTTATGCAGTTGCGAGTGCCGTAAAAACACTTACCAAAACAAACAAACAAGGGTGTCCAGTCTCTGGATGCCACTTGTGGGTTGCCGCGACGCAATGTATGTAAGACACTTTTAACTTATCTTAAATGGGAGGTAGAGGGGGGACTCAAGTATACCTTTAATAGATGTAGAACATATAGAGTGTATTTTTTTTAATGGACATTTTACCTATGTGTCCATACTTCCTTCAAGGACACCCTTGGTCTGTTGGTTGTTAAATGACTCAGAAGTACTGTCAAACCTGCTCTAACAGCCACTTGTATAGACAATCACCTGTACAAACTGCCTCTTCTCATTTCCTTCCTTGCATATTTCTTACATTATAATGACACGGTGTAAGATAGCAACCTCCCTAATACAGCTACTTTTTTCCTCAACAGTGGGTGGCCAAGGCAGACACTTTCGACTGCAATTTTAAAAATCCTTTGTTTCTTCCTTTTAGAACCTCAGAGCATGAATCATGTTGAGGCTGGAGAAAAACATGAGTTGATCAAGTTCAGGTTTGTACATTTCATTCTTGTCAGTAACAGTCTCTTTAGTAAGGTGCTTGCCTCTCTTTGTTTAGTAACTGGTTCCTTCCCTTGCTGATGCAAGCATGGCTGCTAGAAAATTTTTAATTTTTTGTCTCAGACTTTTCACACTTCACACCTCAGGGAGAGATCAAACCAAGTTGAATAGTCTGTTCCCCCGGCAGTAAAGCTGATCCAAATGTACATTTCATGAAGAGAGATCCGATCAAGTGTTCTGTTCTCACAACTGCAATGTCAATATGAAAGCGTACTGCATTCCTGGAAGATTGAATTTCTCTCATATCCCTTTCTCCCTACAGAAACGTTGGTAGAAAAATATACTTCTTGAAAAACGAACTTATCGTACTCCTACAACTTCAGGGTCCCCACCAGGTCGGGAAATCGGGAAAAAGTCGGGAATTTTGAGATGGGTTGGGAGGTCGGGGAAAAGTCGGGAATTTTGTGATGGGTCAGTAAGTCGGGAAAGGATAGGACCTGTGTAATATTAGTAGTGTAGCTATTTAGACAGTATGGTTGATGAATCATGAAGCGGAAACGTAATTGAACCGCTATGGCGGAAGTGTATGTGTGACACCGAGGCTCGATCGGGAAGAATAAAGATCTACTTTCGCTTTCGTCACCACCCAGAAATTTTCCGGTAATAGTCTGATAGATAACGTAACATTTGTAACATGCAGGTTGTGATTTACGAACGCTGTGTGGCCTTGAAAATAAATCAATTTTAAAAATTTGTCTTCTGCTGTCACTTGTGAAAAGAAAAGAAAAGAAAGTTGTACAAGCGTCTTGTCAGGTACGCCATCATGACCGGTCAATGAACCTCTTAGTACCGGCGGTCTGACCGCTGTGAAGTATAGTACTCCGGAACGGGTTGGGGGGGGGGGGGGGGGGTATTTAAAAAAATAAGATACACTCAGGGAAGGGGATGGGGGGGGGGGGGGAGAGGCTGAAGACTACGCTAGAGGTCAAAAACCGAATTTGGAAGCAAATTTTTAGTACAGTGGTCTCTGCCTAAGATCCCGGTGCTCGGGAGCAAGGAAATGCGGGATCTTAGGCGAACCGGGGATCGGTAAAATGTTCTCCCTCCGCTCTACAATGAACTGACGTGCCCCCTTGGTGGGTTTATGACGTATGGCGAGCAAAGAGTGGTTAACCTTGATGATCTATCACGGTGCATAATGGCATGAGGCGTGCCATTTTCACTTATTATCCTACATGAGTCTCAAGATCTACACTTATCCAGTTCCCCCCCCCCCCCCCCTTTACGTGTTGAAAATTTATAGCTTTCCGAGCCCCCCTCCTAACCGTCTTTGCCGTAACACACCAATTAAAATCCAGTCTGTCTCGCAAATTCGGGAGTAGAGACAACTGCTGCAATGGTTCACAGTTCAATGTGATCCCGCCTGGAGCAAACATGTAGGCCCTACCCATCATCCAGCGAGTGATGTAACTTTAGGGGGAGAGCTCAGGTGTGAGTGCGATGCGTGGGGAAAACAAACGCGTCGGTCAGTTCACACCCCGGTGAGATCCCGTCTGGGGCAAACATTGTATCTCTTCATCGAGTTTTACAGCGTGTATGTGATCACATTCACGATAGTGGCTGATCTTTGACGCGATGGACAGTTTGTTGATCTCAACTTTTCACTCTTGGTTGATCGGCTATGCCCGCCATGGTTTTTGTTTCGCAAATTATGATCTGAAATGCGGGATCTTAGCTGAATGTAGACCATCAGAGCGGGATCTTAGGGGTGATTTTTGTATAGTAAAAATTATGTTATCCTAAGACAACGGGATCTTAAGCGAACCGGGATCGTAAGCGGTGGGATCTTAGGCGGAGACTACTGTATTTAGAATTTTGATAACTACTATAAGATAGACCTGCATGTTTGCCGACAATCGTCTGAAATCCGACAATCGCGACCTGACCCGCAAGCCGGCCGATGCTATCGCTAGGCCCACCTGTATCAGTCAATGTGTGAACTGCGAGGCCTGGCCGACTGCTAGCGCCCCCTTTTTCTCCCGTTGGCTTTGTCGGCACTTTCGTTTTCGTGCAGACGTCGGCGTTTCCAACATTTCGGAACCTGAGTAGAAATGCGAATACGAAAAAGGACGACGACCTAAATTATCTACTTTCAGTTTCGTGCTCGGGCGGCCATTTTTAATTTCGTTTGTTGACTAATTCAATTGTTCAGATCGTGTGGATTCTAGTGATGGGCCGATACCACAATTTAGGTATGGATGTCGATACCTAGTATTTTTTCAAGGTATCGATACCGATACCTCGATACCTAATGCTATAGTAACATACGCCGGGGGTAATAAGTAAAGACAAAAATACAACTATACTTTTCCAAGTATATAGGTAATCGTGTCTAGACAAGTTGTGACTATTTAGCTGAGACTCAAACAAAAATTATTTGTAAAAGAGAGAGAGAGAGAGAGAGAGAAATAAATACCCAAATATGAGAATAAAAACAAAAACTAAATGAAGTATGGGAGGAAAGTCAACTTTGCAGAAAATGTTAGTATTGGAAAATAAGAACACAAGAGTTCTAAAAAGGCAATTCAATTTACCAGATTTTTAGCAACTTTAAATTAAACTAATGAGGATAAATCAGGGTTGTCAGTGAGGATTTTGCAAAATCACTAGATAGATTTCATGAAAAACGTCTCTCTTTTTGTTAAAAAATCACTAGATTCATTTAAAACGCTTGCCCCCTACGAAAACTTATCAGTTTTGATAAACAAAAAATTCTCAAGGCCCAAGTCACTTGCTTTGGCAGCCCTGGGATAAATAACACATAGGTATCGATGTTTAGAGCAGGTATCGGTACCGATACCGATACCTATAGGTATCTAAGTATCGAGTATCTAGTATCGATACCTGCCCATCACTTTTTTTTATTTTGGACTTGTCCTGGCCTTTTTACATGAAGCCCCGTTGCAGGTTCTTCTTTGGGGTAGGCCTAGGGGTAGGGTTAGGTCTCTTCTTTATTGTGTTTGTTTGGGTGGTCGCTCGTTACTTGGGAGTCCTTCCTTATGACACCCACAAAAGCTCTAATGGGGGTTGCGCAAAATTTTCAGACAATCTGGTTGAGGCTCACATGCAGGTCTATATAAGAGCTCTCGGCAAAGCGCGCGTTGGTGCAGGCCTTGTGTGGAATCGGGATCCGTCATGCCTTGTTATAGAACTAAAGCGTTCGCGTTTCATTGGATGGGGTGACTGTAATTTATATATCTATATTTTAGCTTTCTGTTCAAGATTGGCAGAATTTCAGTGTCACTGCATCTTGCCCTCCCTCAGTTCTTACTCCTCTCACACTGAATAGGTCTACTTGAGCCATTCAAGTTGTTACTAATATTACTCTACTTTGAGTTTGAGCAAAAGTTTTCGTCTTCACGTATATTATATGAATCATGACGCCCAGACTGGTTATTGACAGTCGATATTCTGGTTCTAGGTCTTTTCTCAGGCTCAAAACAGGATTCCTTTTTTTATATAGGGCCTATAGTTTATGTAGGCTAATATGATGAGGGGAAAATATAAATACATGTAAGTAAGAACAGACTGAAATACCAAAGTCACACAAGATCCCAGTGCCACACTGACATGTTGACTGGATATAATGTACCTGTGTGTGTGTATTCACAAACATATACATATATATTATAATAGATATAAATGGAGCATGCGCTGCCATTGTTATGCAACATGCCCCTGGAAAATGGATGAGGGGCCCCCCCGGGGAAAATTGAGAAGCTGGGTAGCAGTCATCCAGTATTATAATCATCTATTGTTTGAATGAAGACTCTACTACAAAATGTACTTTTGCATTCATTTAAAGACATTTTGACTTAATTAATATCATTGATAGATGGTCTTTTTTGGGGATCATTCTTGACGCGCTGCAGCTTGATTTTTCCCTCGAATTGGGGTCTTGAAAAAAATGTAGGGGTCTTGAAAAAAATTTCCAGGATTTGGTGGGGACCCTGCAACTTGTTCTTACAGCATTATTGTCAGTCCAAAAGTGTTGGTGGTTGGCAGGTGCTCTGGTGTTATTTTCTCCTTCTCTCCTATCAAACATCTATCATCCTTATCTCTCCTTCTTTTTTGTGTTTGTCACTCTCCTGTATCATCTGTAATCTTCAGCACTAATAATATGACTTATACGCAGTAAAATGCTTATCAAAACAAAAAGATATCAATATAATATTCAATTTTCACCACAGTAATGTTGGTCCAAAAGCGTACTACTTGAAGGGTGAACTAGCCATAGCGGAACAGGCCTTGGCGGAGCTCATCTGTGGCTACATGGAGAAGAAAGACTACAGGCTCATTGCAGGACCGGAGTTCTTCAAGACACCTGTTCTGGTTTGTTCAAAACAAGTTTTTGTATTTTTGGTATTGTCTAACCATTGTTCATAAAGGGTGTTGGGCTTTTAATCACAGGTGCTGGGGGGGGGTTGGTAGGCTGGAGGGAAACTGAACTGAACACTCACACTGAAAATACACATGCAATACAGCACATATGGTAATGCCTGTCTTGAAATTTCAAGATCTTTTTACATCAACCTATTCTTAGACAAGACAAAGAGCTTTCTTGCTCTTGCAGTGGGTGACAATGTTGTGTTTCCACCACCATAAGTGTTGGTGTTTGTCATAGTTGCGAGCGCCGTAAAACCTCTACTAAAACTAAAAAACCCATTTCATTTGAGAAATTAAATAGACATAATTTTGAAAAGTTCAAGTATCTCTAGAATTAAATTGTGAATTTTAGTAGGTAAGCACTTGACTGTTTTTTTGAAAGCCAAGCTTCCACGCTGTGTGTGTGTTATTTCTGTAGATCTGTCATTCTCATTCAGTACTTGGGTTAATATTAATGTGTGTTAGTGCAGACCTGAGTTTATTGTCATCAAAAGAAGCAAGCTATCTCAGGTGAAGGACATTAATTTTATAATAAGCAAGTGGTGAGTGCAAAATTTAGTTAGTAATATTCATTTTGATTTTAAAGTTTATGGTGACAGATTAATGAAGAATTTGGAGGTATGATGTGATGGTTGGTTATAGTCATTTCAACACTACAAAGTTTTTTCGACTAATAGGTCTTCCAATTTCAAGTCCATATCCAATAGGAACAGGCTTAGTGGGTGAATGCGATGGAAAGCTCCCCCAACAACCAAGTTAAAAAATTCTGTGGCAGGGATTCAATCTAAGAGCATCCAGGTCTTAGTCCAGTATGCTACCAACTGGATTTATTATAATGGGTCCTTGGAATAAAGTTTACTGCCGTGCTTTATTCAGTTCTCATTACCTCACTCAATATCAGCTCTGTTTTTCAATGAATCATTTTGTTTTTCCATTTCCAGGAAGGATGTGGCCGTGATGTGTTCGACACAGAGGGGGTAAGAACTTTGTCCTCATGTTTGTGTTTTCAGTAAGATTGTCATGTTGTGTGTCATTTAACGATATCACGTAAAAAAAAATTCATGTTGAAGAGTAGATGTCTTTTACTGTCACCATCAAAACAACAGGAAGAATTGTCGTAAGGATGGGTTCTAATCTTAAATTAGCTAAAGTTATGGGTTTACGTTCTAATCTTTTCTTGTATTTTCAAAGTTTTTGAAAGTGTTTTTACTTTTATTCTTCTATCATATTTCTTTACCTTTAGAGATTCTTTTCTGAGTCTTTTCCTCACAAATCATGTTATTCTTTACTGCAGTTTTTAATGTTTCTTTCACGTAAAGGAAGTTCTCTTCTCCTATGAGGAAACTGATAATTCGTTTCACATTTTGCTTTCTGCTCTCTGTTGTAACTAAGTGTGATTCATCTGTCACCGAAAGGAAGCAAACTGGGAAGAAGCATCGGTGTTTGCATAATATTAGATTGAAGAGTATAAAACAACTGAATGAAATTTTGACAGCTTAGACTGCAGCCCATTTCATGCTTACTGGCCCATTCAGTGTACAGCAATCTTTCAGTGCTTCCACTCTTCCGAATATTTAAGGGAAATCCGTACTTTCTGCCAGTTCCGTACTTGTTCCTCCATCATTATCAACTCCCTCCGTAAAAATCTGCGACAGCGTAGGACTACCGAAATTCTGTAGCAAAAGATCCGTACTCGCCTTCGTATTGTCTTGTATTATAAGCTACGGATATTTACGGTAATTCTCCTGGCAATAAGTTAATATTATAGAAACCTGCCAGATTGCGCTTTTCCTGCCATCGGCCATTATTCCACTATGTCCCGTGCATTCATTGCGGGTTGGTCGGCAGTACATTTTTTACCTGCAGATGGATCAAAATCTGGCAAACTTTTTGTATCACTTTCCTCCTTTCTATCATCCCCTCATTCGGTCTATCTTCGGCGGACTATTGCCGCGGCTGGAAAATTTGCGCGTGGATCAAGTATATTGACTAGTAATCTTAGACCGAAAATTACTGTCAGAAAGAAACTTTTTTGCAAATTTATTATCTAGAGAAATTATCAGTCTGAAGATTCTATGGCACGGGAACGCGATAAGGGCCACAATGAAAGAAATTTGTGCTACTGAAATCAAGAATAATTCGAAGTGGTTTTCCGAGGTTGTGACATGCAACTTTCAGACGTGAAAATTGAGGAAAATTAGAGTATACGCTGGGTAACTGTATTGTGAAGGTACATATCTAGTCATTATTCCCAGGTTTGCCTTCTATCAATGGTACGATGACAAATTAATTGAATTACAGTAGCAATGGAAGGGGAACCTGCTTTTAAACATTGCCAGAAATGGAAAGATATGTAGATCTAGGTGAAGAAATCAAACAAGACAAAATCTTGGTGAAAAAATAGGTAGTATGGGTTGTTGGCAATCTCTTCAAACAGGCTCCCAAATGCCATATTCAACCCTCTAAAAGTACTAAATTTCAATTTGTTTGGGAGCTTCGCCCCCGGAGCCCCCACTGGGATGCTATCCCCAGGACAGAGATGCCAACCAGTACGATATTACGTATTTTAGTATGATTTTTGGCCGAAAATACGCGAATACGACTTTTCATGAAAAAATACGCATCCTGGAATGCGAAAACTACGAGATTCTGCTTGGGCGAGTAAACTTAATTAACTCAGGTCCCATCTTTTGTCAAAATAGTATCAGTATCGCAGAACTGGAATATTTGAAAACCAAGTCCGATGTGGTCAGTATTGCCAGTCGCGATCGTGATATTATTATTCGTTCATCATTTCCCCGTCTGGAGAGTACGTTTCACTTTCACTCGAAAAGGCAGCTATGGCGGCAGGCGGAAGCGTATGTATGTGACACCGAGGCTCGATCGGGAAAATCAAGATCTACTTTCGCTTTCGTTACCACCGAGAAGTTTGCCAGCAGTTGTCTGATAACGCAACATTTGTGGCATGCAGGTTGTGCAGTATAAACACAATGTCGCCGTTCAAATAAAATGTAATAAATACTCTGACTCGTCGCTGTGCTGTCACTTGTGGAAAAAAAAAAGAAAAGAAAATACAAGCGTCGTCCGATTTTTAGATTGTCTGGTTCGCCATCGTGACCGGTCACTGACCCTGTGCGCATTCACATCACAAATAAATGCGGTATCGTGTGAGCGAAGACCGTCTTTGTGGGAGTAACGGCCTTGCGAAGTATATGACTACGGAATAGGGGAGGAGATTATTGATTTTTTTTTGTTTTAAGATACTATCGGGGGTTTAAGGCAACACCAGAGGACAAAAACTTGGAAGCAATTTTCAGAATTTTGATTAGAGCTTTCTGCAAAGCGCGCCTTGGTGCAGGCCATGTGCAGAATCGGGACCCCTCATACTTTGCAAATCTGTGTTATTGAAATAAAGTGTTCGCGTTTCATTGGATGGGTGATAGTAAATTATACCTACTTGGATTGGTGGTAGTAAATTATACCTACAGTGTATGTTGTAGCTTTCTGTTCAAGACTGGCAGATTTTCAGTGTCACTGCATCTTCCCCTACCACAGTTGTTACAACTCTCACAGTGCATGGGTCTACTTGAGCCATTCAAGTTATTGCTTTTCTCTGAGTTTGAGCAATAATTTGAGTCTGTCAGTTCATAATAAGAATCATGACACCCAGACTGGTTCTTGATAGTCGAAATTCTTGTTCTAGGCCCTTCCGAACCCTCAAAGCAGGATTTATTTTTTATATAATAATAATAATGAGAGGAAAATGTTATATAATAGACTGAAATACTTAAGTCAAACAAGACCCCGGTACGACACTGAACACTGACATGTTGTTGACTGGATACATGTATATATTGTACGTGTGTGTGCTCCCTTTTCCGAGCTGGTGAGCTAGTAATTTGTTTTCAGGAAATATTGCTGGACACCCTGAACATTTTACTATTACTGGTTGGTCGACCATCAATGATTTATTTATAGAGACACCAGCCATCCATGTCCAGGTGCTGTTTTAGCCTACTGATTTGTCGGTCGGTCGTGGGGAATACACATTTTCACCTGAAAATACATATTTTCATATTTCCCAATACTCATTTCGGTTTTCTGTGGTTGGCATCTCTGCCAGGACCCCCGGCAGAATTTTCCTTACTTTTCGGCTTCGGCTGGTGGAAGCACTGTTCCTTTCAAATACATTTGAGCTGGATAGGACTGCATATAGTATTACATGGATAGGTTGAACACAGAAGACTTAAAGTGTTTTACAACACGCTAGCCCCAAGTTAGCCATATTCTTCTCAAACAGTTAGCCATATTCTTCTCAAAAGCTGGGAACTTCACAGCAGATATAACTTATTACAACAAAGAAAATATCTGTAGTTCTAAAATCAACTGTTGTACTGCTTTCTATAGTGTTTGTTTTGCATCAGTACACAAGTTCCAGAAATCCTTTTTATTGCTGTCTTCGGAACAAAAATGACTCCAACAGATATTGAGATTTTTTTTCTTCTTTCTGCTTCAGGATATTATTTGTCACAAGAAACAAAGTCTCAAGTTCTACAATTATCTTTTGACTAGCTTTCCATAAGTGTTGGACCGCTGTTTTTTTTCTAAGCTTTATACCATTGCCAAATTCCTCAAATCCTGTTTGCTGCTGTTTTAGGTACAATCAGTACAATAATATTTAATTAGAAAGTTTTTTCACACTAAATTTTAACTTTCTAAAGGGTATAAATTATTGATAAACATTTAGTGTACGTCTTCATATCTTCGCAGGTGTTGACTATACAGCATGTGATCAAGGATATAGTTGAGCCCATGAACCATCTGGCTGGAGTTTCCCCAATGACTTTTGCTGGTAACAGACATTTTTTTTTTCTCTTTCGCTTCCTTCTCCTACATTGATTATATAAGTACATTTTAAAAACGTATGTGTAATTTCTCCCCCCCCCCCTATGTTCAGCTCAGTTCAAGTGCATTTTGTTGTCCGAAATAAGATCCAGTTTGATATAATATTATTTCATTCATCTTTCATTTGAACAATTCAGCAGTGTAATTTCACCTGTTTTGAAACATGAAATGTTTTGTTGTCAAAAATGAGATCCAATCAGATGTATTTTTATTTACTGTTTTTGTTCGGTTGAACAAGTTAACAGTGTGATTTCACCTACTTTGAGACATGAGTTGTAAGAACATCAAATTATCTCATCACTCCCACAAACAAGCCTTAAAATACACACACATTTTTCTCCAACCCCCAAGCACACTGGCATCCACCCAAAGTCAGCAGACTTTTCTCTCATTGACACTTCCTTTCCCTCTCAAGGCTGCTGTTCTGTATTTTTTTTACGACAAATGATCAGTTGCACTTAGGGGAAGTTTTTAAAAAATTTAGGCCATTTTGTACTATTGGTAAAAGGACATATTTTATCCTCAGCATACATGGCAAAGCTGTGTGTTGGTGACGCACGTCTGCCGTTTAACTTGTTCTCTTGTGGAAGGACCTACCAGAACAGTAAGAAGGATGTGTATTGTTTACATAAGTGTCCTGTGAACCTGTATTCTGCCTTTGGGGGGGGGGGGGGTAAAAAGAAAATTGAGGGAGTGGGGGAAGACTGGATTTGCAGATGATAATGAAAACATTGCCCGTATGTCAATGGGAGTATATCCCTTAGCATTTCTCACATTATTGTTAATGCAGAATATATCTTGAATTTATCTAATGCAGAAAAGTGTATGTGAAGGGCTTTGAAAGGGGGGGGGGGGGGTACTCGGCAAGCTGTGTGGGTAAAGTCTGTTTTTTTGGCAGCTAGGTTATATGGATGAGGATGACCCTTTTTCAATTTTCAAACTTGGCTGTCCACCCACTACAAGGCCCTGTGCTGTTGGAGATGGGTGTTAAATCGGATGTCCCATCTCTTTTGAAACTTTTCAGTGTTTAAAGGGGGTCAACCTAAAAGCTTAGCAAGGAAAATACTTTAGTTAAAAGTTTATTTTTCAAAGTTCATGAAGATTGGAGCTATGGAAGAGCAGATGTTGGACAGTTGTAATGGGAGGTTTGATCCCAGTGATTGTTTTGAGCTGGATTTCCTCTTTAGAGTTTTGTTTCATCAGACTCGCCAGATTTAGTGGAAGAGATATATATGTCTTTTGGCTCCTTTTCTAGATTATAAATACAGTTGAAATTGTCTGAGATGGCCAGTCATTGTCGAGGAGCATCTTAGACAGGTGGCTGTCCTACAGTGTCATTATAATTATAATGTAAAAAATAGGCAAGTGAGGAAAAGGGAAGTAGTCGTTAGTATAGTTGTCTTATCAAGGTGGCTATTAGAGAGAATTTTACTGTTGTATTATGGCCCTACTGACACAATTATCCCCCCCCCCCCCCCCCCCACAGGGGCAGTGCCACTGACTGTAGTGTCTTTAGGCCATTCCCAAAGGGAAGACATTTCTCGTTCAAGCACAGTAGAATTGTAAATGGGCTGATTCATGTCACGCTTATAACTGTGCCTGATCTACAGCAGGGAACTGCTGCTTTTTCTTTCCTGATCCTTACTATTGTCATTTACCTCTACATCTTTTGTATGTTTGTCACTCTCTTGTGACCTGCTATTTCCGGGGTGCCTTGATTGTCAAAGCAGACCTTGTACTGTTGAAGCTGGAGAGGTGAGCAGTCTTAGTCTGATTCCCTGTAAAAACTTCTCTGTTGACACCCACACCTTGGGGCTCATATGACCTTATGCAGTTGCGAGCGTCGTAAAACCCTCTACTATAAAAAAACACAAAAAAACCCTGACACAATTAAGATAACTAAAAATGTGAGCTACTTTGACTCTAACTGTTAGCACCAAGCCATATATATATATATATATATATATATATATATATATATCCGACTTATATAGATGGATATTAGACTTCCTTACATGGGAATTAAATCCAGGTCTTCAGTGTGTAATGGTGAAGAGTGTCACAGTTTCACTGTAGATGCGAGTCCCTTCTCTTGAGAGTCTTTGTGTCACGTATGTGCTCACCTGAGCTGAGGAAGGGAAGTATTTTAGCACCATTATCAGTGTACCAAATACTACTTACAGTCTATTTTACACATAATGAAATTGGTGGTAAGTATAAATCTTTACGGTATGTTTGAATTTCGCATTATGTATTTTAAATTTAGAGAATATAAATATATTGGTATATGAAAGAATTTGGGACCTGAAAATCTGTTTATTATATTTATCTTTGCTATGTGCATGCAGGAGTGTAGTTATTAGACAACAATTTTTTTTTTCACCAGGTGACCTACCTGGCCTGTTTGGAGCCATGCAGACAACACAGGTAAAAATAGATGCAGTGTGGGTGTGATCGATGTGTGCTCTAGGGTGATCTGTTCTTTCTTTTTGTTCTCAATGTTTCTATAAAACTATAAAGTGTTCATTATGGAATGGGGCATTCATTTATTAACACTTTCACTGTCTTGGTCGAGACTGTGTGTGTGTGTGTGTGTACTCTTTAATAGGATAAGGCATTAGAATCTGGCAGTGAGAGGGTTAAGCTAACTAACTGTACTCTGCTTCTCTTCAGTGACAACAACAGTGTAGTGTCAGCAGCAGCGAGAACTGTAAATTTAGCATTCCGACTGAGGGGGGGGGGGGTTTATCACCACACAGAGGATGGCTGACATCACTTATTTGTACTTACACGCAGTGGATTTTGTTGAAAAAAATAATAATGAAACCAGTTGGTAGCTTGTTTTATTTGCAATCAGTTATGGTGGATGTAGGGTTGTCAGTTAGAGTCATGATTACTTTTTTGGTGATTTTTTTGTTGTGAAGGTAGTCGAAAACCCAGACAGTGGGATCAGGCTGTTGCAGTGAAATAAAAGAGGACAGGACCTTAAACATTCCCCCCCCCCGTCAATTTCTTCATCTCTCGAAATGATAAAACTTGATGTATGCCTTCTTCAAAACACAAGGCATTCTCATTTTCCTTGTTGGCTCAAATCTTTTTACAGGTCGGCCTTTTTTCCGGTGTGACAGAGTCTGACGTTGACTTGCAGTTTGAACAGACCATTGATGTTGTCTGGAAGCTCTTGCAATCTCTGGGTTTCTCCATGAGGTAAAGATCTCACACCACATGAAGTTAAATGTGAATCCAAATTTTGAATTAGACCTGCATGTTTGCCGACAATCGTCTGAAATCCGACAATCGCGACGCGACGCGACCCGCGAGGCGGCCGATGCTATCGCTAGGCCCACCTGTATCAGTCAATGTGCGAAGTGCGAGGCCTGGCCGACTGCCAGCGTCCCCCTTTTCTCCCGTCGGCTTTTCGGCATTTTCGTTTTCGTGCCGACTGCCGACGTCTGCGTTTCCGACATAATTGTCGGAACCTGAGTAGAAATGCGAATACCAAAAAGGACGACGACCTAAATTATCTACTTTCAGTTTCGTGCTCGAGCAGCCATTTTGAATTTCGTTTTGTTGACAAATTCAATTGTTCAGATCGTTTGGATTCATTCCAGTCCAACTCACTTAGATAATAGAATCTAGATCTAGATTTATATAGATCATTATAGACCTCAATGGAGGATTCATATTCCATTTCTATTTTGTCAAACCCTATCATAGGTTGTGCTGTAATATTAATGTTGATAAAAAAAACATTTCATCAGGTGCATGAATTATTTATTTATTTAGAATCTAGATCTAGATATCTAGATCTAGACCTAGTCTAGACTCAGCTGAGCCCCTCTGTTCGGAATCGGATGCGGATTTCTAGTTCAAGGCCTATTCCTAGATCCTATTCACTTGTTCTACAAGATCTAGATCTAGATTTATTTAGTTTACTAGATCTATATGGAGGATTCATATTCCAATTCTAGAATCTATTGTGTTATTGCATCAAACCCTATTATTATAGATCTAGCAATATGTAGATGTAGGCCATTATGCTCATTGTAAGCCTTGTTTGTTTTGGAGTGTGGTTTTTTAATTTTAAAAATGTTTTTCATTTTGGATTTTTGCTGGCCTTTTCACATGAGGCTCGTTGCAGGTTCTTTGTTGGGGTAGGCCTAGGGGTAGGGTTAGGTCTCTTCTTTGTTGTGTTTGTTGGGGTGGTCGCTCGTTACTCGGAAGTCCTTCCTTATGACACCCACAAAATTTTCAGACAATCTGGCTGAGGCTCACATGCAGGTCTATTGAATGTTTGAGTCAAGAATCTTGACCCATTGGCTGTTAGGTTTCTCTGATTTGGGACCTTTTCTACTCACCAAGAATATACTTATACTGGTGGTGTGTGCACCTTGTGAATACGACATGTGAGTTAGTACAGTAGAACACGACTGTAGCGGCACCCGCTGCAGCGGGACCATCCCTACATCAGTTAGGACCTGTAAAGAATCAGAACTAGAAATTCCCAGACATAACGACCTCTTTAGGTCAAACACACATCATTCGCATCCCTTTAAACGTCACCGGGGTGTAGAATTCAGTAGATGAGCCCCATGAGACGTCTGTCTGTAGACGATGTCTGCAGCAATATCTTTCCTACATCTCAACGGTCCGCATTCTCAAGGCAGATCTTCATCTACAACTGTACCATTATGGTACCCGTCCACGAAGCTATCTGAGGATAGCAAAGTGTTCCTGATTCCTCGAGCATCTTGAAAAGCTCGGACATTTCCTCAGTGAGATTTGGTTCCTTGGCAAAGCCCATATATTCACCTTTCAGGTTATATCACCCCCACAAATGCTGTCTATTTGGGCAACCTCACACACACCCCTATTTTCTCTACAAACAGCTTTATATGGTTGAGTGGATCCTTATGTTTGGCCACCACTGAACATTGCGAACGACTCGTTAAAATGTGTCGAGTCCAAAGGAGGACACATAGACCATTGGTTCTCGGAATTCCAGAATTTATTAAAAAAGAAAGGTAACAGAGATGGAAAGCTTAGATTTTAAAAATAAAATGAAAGGACAAAACAAACCAATGGATAGAGCCTGGGACACTGATTATTATGCTTTTTTACATTTTTTAGATAGCTTTATTAGTTCAAAAGTTATGGCCAATATTCATCGTCATTTTTTAGGCAAAATTGGTCCATTTTTAACATAGGAAACGCGTGACCGTCTTTTTAGCGTCTCCAAAAACGTTTGTAATTCAGCTGCTAATTATCTGATTTACATAAATCATACACCAAAATGCTCGTCTTGATGAGTACTATCAATTGCAATAATAAAAGGACTTCTAAACTTCAACAGTTTTGAAATAACACTCTTAATGAAGATGGCTTTGATAAAAATTTAAAAACATGACATATAATAGCACTACAAAAGACTGATGATCTAGTTAGCCAAACTTTTTACCTGTATGGCTACCATGATAATACACTGAATCTATTAAAAGAAATAACATGTAAATTTGTGATTATTAGGGGAGAAGCTACAGAAATAAAACATTTCCCAAGCTTAAAACGTCTAACAAGGCTGCTGTACAAAGAGTATAGTCCACTGAGTTGGCATTCGAACGTACGGTACCATTCTTTGTGCTCAACAGTATAGATCATAAGTGAGCGAACAAAAGACATGGGGTTTTGAAAGAACGCTGCTATCCTATTCAGGAAGTCGAAAGGCTGGTCACATATATTTCCAATGAAGGCGCACTGCCAGACTTAGTGCTTGGCCAATTGACAGTTCATGAGTTCCTTTTGTTCATCCCCACTCTGTGAGGACACTTCTCTCCTCCTCTCCCTTATCTCTGCGTAGAGAGACTTACTCTGGAGGTACCAACAAGTTCTTTCACACCGACCCTGCCACACAGTAAGTAAAACTAGTAAAAGAAATTTAGTGAATTTCGCCCTGCAGTCTCTTTTTGAAAAGAGCCACTCCAGGGTCCTAGTCTGTTCATAAGGAACCCTGTGGTAGTATCGGAGCCCTCCTCCAAAGTTGCTGCTTCTCCAGTATGTACGAGTAAATTGATTGCTGTGGCTTAAACAAGTTGAGCTGCCTTTTGCGATTCATCTTATCAAGTCCCGAGCATCTTTTGCTGTTTCCATCTCTTCATATTCTGAAAAATAAAAAATAAAAAACCCAAAATTAGGCCAAGAGTGGAGATGAGATAATAAGAACTAGGCCTCTGGCCCGCCAGTATACTCCTCACTGAGGGGGAAGGGGGGAGGGGTTGTCAATTGAGTAAATTACATTAATTATTAATTTCACTTTATATTTATTATATATGTCATTATAATTCCCATTGCAACATGAACAAAGATGCAGAGTTGCTGAAATAAATTTTAAAACATTAACTTAGGCCTAATTATATATTAAATCTCAATGTAGCCAATGCAAATTGGATTTGGTATCAAATTTTGTACTATAAATATTATATATATTGACTGATATTATTTAATGAATTATTAAGGTCCAAGATAGTCTTTTCCTTACAATAAAATATAAAGCAAAAGAAAGGGTGAGGAGAGTTGAAATTATAAAAAATTAGATCTATCTTTATTATTAATATAATATACTGGATCTAGATCTAACTCTGCATCAATTGGGAGTAACAACAAAAACAATGATAATAAACAACAAAAAGAAATAGACTGTTAATGTGACTGTACAGAAAACCACAGGGGGGGGGTAGAAGTCGGCGCTTGGCAGGAGCGGCCATTGTGGAGGGTGAATGGTCCAGTTGGTTGTAGCTTGATATTACATATTTTCTCCTTCTTGTGCCAAACCAAAACCTGTACATTGAAAATAATTTATAAATTATTTACGCTCTGTTCTCTCAAATTGAGCATCCTTATTAAGTTATCGTGTACTCCAACAATGACGGGTGGGAACTGGGTCTAAAAATAGATCCACCTCACCTCGGCTGGCCCGGGCAGAAACCGAACAGACGCGATGTTTGGGAAAGGGTGCGTTTTAAAATAGATGGTTCCAAGCAAATTTGGTAGATAAAAGGCTATTACACTTGTATGCATAGGTTTCATTTACATATGAGCGCTAGATTTTATACAATTATCGATCAAACTTACCAAATTTTTCACTTGCAAATATTTCGGGATCTATCGACCCGAATCGAAACTGGAAAATGCCATTAGAAAGAAGAGTTCTTTCCGGTTATAAATATGTATCGGAAGTTGGAGTAAATGAAGAAAACGAAACAAAACGCTCGCGTTTTCTGACACACCCCGATCGGATCGAGTGCGCGCCGGCTTCAAAACTGAACGGCCCGTCGGCTCTCGTTTTACAGGCTGCGCGGCACGCGATAGTAAAGTGCCTATTTATAAAAACCAATTTCGTTTTAAAAAATAAGCTGCTTCTTTGGGAATTTTTTGTCAAACAAATTCCTTTTGAATGAATTATATCTTTTCCAAATTACAAGATTATAGGATATTTTTTTTTTAAAGTGGTAGTTTTTTTGTTGGGGGGGGGGGGGATCACCCTGTACATTGCTGGTTGGCACCTTGATGAATGGTGTTTATAATGTTATTGTTCTAGTCTAAGTCTATAGAATAAGAAAAAAATCACCCATGAAGAACACAATGAGACATGATAACCCTCCTCAGACATTTTGCAACTCTGCAGTTTTGGAACTATGTCCTAGACCAGCAAGTCCATGGGATCGCGTACAGTTGGTCACGGATAACTCAAACATGTCAGGGATTGAAAAAATGTGTTTGACACATCCATGTATATTTCGAGTAAATCAATATGACGAAACATCAAAGATATATCAGTTGGTGAATGGCAAATTGTAAGAGCTTTCTGTGATTTAGATTTTTCCGTGCTTGTGTTATCTATGCCGACTATATTTCAATCTATCCTGTTTTTCAGATTGTCCCTTGTTCCTGTCACAGATCTGAGACAAGAGGAGAGACGGAGAGTAGAGCTTCAAGTGTTTGCCCCAAGCCTCGATAGCTTCATCCCTGTAAGACAATTTCCTTATCATCATTCACCTTGCTTACTAAAGCTGCTCATATCAAAATTGCAAATTAATAGGGTCAAAAGTTATGTCATATTTACATAGCCAATTTATGATCATCTGTTATGAAGGTAAATTCTTTTGTGGATGTTCTCATATCACTAATTTATATAGCTTGTGAAAGTCAGTGTTTCTCTAAGACGTAAGTCTTATTTCGATTGGACATACAAGTGAGTGAGATATTTTTTTTCCTTTTTTAATTTTCAAACTCAACACTTTGTGGTGATAATGATGGTGGTAAGGGTAATGGTAGTCGTAATGATCATTAAAGTGGTGGTGGTAATGGTGATGATTTACTTAACTTAGTTATAGAAGTTTCTAAATATTTACAATGTTTTCTTTTACCAGATAGGATATGTGAGTGACCTAGGGGACTTTGTCAGTCGTCGTCTAATGACCTGCCACAACCGTAACCATGGTGACATCCGTCGAGCTAAGCATCTGCACATGGTGAGTTGTTGCATACAATTTGTGTAGCCTTACAAGGAAGCCTGTATTAGTTTTGTGCTTTTGAATGTCAATAGACTTAGACAAGAGATTGCCTTACAATAGCTGAGCAGTTACTGAGCTCAAGATTATAAATAATATTGAGCAATGAAAGTGACTCAGAGTTCAGAAGCATGGCCACTGGGATCTTTTCTTAAGTAAGACACAATAATAACTCAGGCTTGAAAATATGTTGCTGCTTGGTGGCAATTTGCAATGATGTGTTTGTAAAAATTGTCAGGATTAATATCCGGTATTATATATATTACTGTCACATGAGCCATGATTTATTTTATTGTTTGTTTTTGCTATTGTGACCCAAATGTCTATCTACATCTTGTACTTTCCCCCATTCCAACTCGAATTGGCTATTCAGACAACTTGTTTTCATGTAAAAGTAAAAAGTAAGGTTTAAGCCCAGTTTTTTTTGCTATTTAAGTGCAACGTTCACACTTACACATCTATTGTCTCAAAACAGAAGTTTTATGTACTTGTTTGCAAATTTAATAAACTCATTTGATTTTAAATGTTCAATCTATGCTAGAGCTTGTGGGTGGTTGGCGGGTGCTCTGGTGTGGTTTGGTTCTTCTTTCCTGTCAGACGTCTATCATCTTTATCTCCCCTCCTTCTTTTTAGTGTTTGTTACTCTCTTGTAACACCTCTATTCTTCGGCACTTATATGACTTTATTGTGTTGCGAGTGCCGTAAAACTCTTACTAAAACTAAAACTAAATACTAGAGCTTTACCACCCATGTTATGTGGACCGTGTAGATTAATTAAGGGAATGAAAAAACCCAATTTTGAAAAATAAGCCCCAGACATCACATGTTATACTCAGTTGTAGGTGCCAACAGCAACAAACCAGACAGGCAGCCTCAGAAACAGAATGTGTGGCTGAACACAGGTGGTGTTAAATTGTCTACACTACAGTCGAACCACCCATTGTTGAAGAAAAGAGGGGGTCATCTTAGACAGGCGGTCCTTTTAGACAGTGTCATTTTTTTTTTTAATGCAAAGGGGAAAGTGGGAGGTATTTTTTTTAGTTTTTTGAACAGTCAGTGGTGGACACCTGCAAGATTATTTCTTCTATTTTGTTACGGCTTTCAATCTGAATAGAATGTCCTTCATTAACTAGTGGTTGCAATGTTATATTCAAGTTGAATTATGAATATCGTTATTAGAATAATTCAATTCTGGGCACATTCTGTAAAGTCAGATATCATGTGAATCAACAGCAGGAATGAAAATATTCTTTTTTTCATTCTTTCTTTCCCCGTGGCCTTCTCTCCGTCAGATCTCCGGGAGCGCAGTAAACATCACCTCGCTACTGGCTGTGTGGCTGGAGCACACCGACCTGGACCAGATGGGAATTGGTCTGTAGTTCCTTCGTTCCCTCTGAGACCTTAGCTGGAATATTGTTGCCGTAGGGCCTACTTGTGTACTGAATTCTGGAAGGGAGAACGAGCGAAAGAAAGTGTGTGTGTAGTGGTGGTGGGGGGGGGGGGGGGGGGGGGTGTCACACATGCACACATAAAGACAAATAGGGAGAAAGATGAAAGATAAGGGAGTGAAAGTGAGAAAGACAGACAGACAGGCAGACAGACGAAGACAACAGGGAAAAGACGACAGTAGTCACAGTTTTCCCATTTTGACAAAAGTGGATTTCAAAGTTTGAAAGTCAACAATTCTCAAATCAGAGACATACTCAAGTCTTCATTTTCTTTTAACTCTTCATATGGCAGATAGAATGTAATCAGGAAGTTCTCCTTGTGATGGAATTTTTTTATAAGATTTTCGTAAAACTAGGGTAGGTCAGAAAAACATTAATTAACCCTTAAGGCTCTGTCATGATATTTTAATTATTTCCCCTCAAGACTGCCATGAAATTGACCAGTTCCAAGATTTCAGGGTGGGTTAGAAAAATGTTTATTACTAAATAAGTATTGAAGATAGATAGACTCATGAAGAACATTTCTTATTCAAAATTGAAAGGAGCACAATCTCAAATGAAGAGAAATAAAATTTTGTCATTTGTCATATTGCATAACATTATGTAATATGCGCTGGAAAAAAAAAGGGGACATTGACATTGCTGCATGTTGTGTTATACAAAAGTATGTGGGTAATTATTGAAAAGGGCAAGTTTTGTGTGTGTAGAATGAGAGCATGAAAATAAAAGGTGAGTACTCTTGTCCATGCTATCTGGGGTTTGTTGATATGTAATGTCTTGAATTCAGGTTAGTAAGTAGGTGGAAAAAAAAATTACTTACAAAACTGATGGCAAGGTTTTCACTTTCGACTGGTATCACAATGGTAAGTCACTGCTTCTTGAAAGTCCCATATATTCTTTCCGCCTGGCCTCCTGCTTATAATCCACAACAGTATGGAACAATTTGAAACAGTCCGGGTAGAACAAAGGTACCTCACAATCTTCGCACCAGTGACTGGTTTGTATCCTCTTGAATTTTTCCCTGGAGCTGGAAGGTAGGTTGTAGACTACACAGTCTTTAGCACCATGCTTTCTCTTGGCACCAGGCTTCGATGGAATATAGCTACTGAAGTGTCGTTCAGTGAGTCTGGCTTCAGAGGGGGCACGGCTTGCTCCTCTCTGGGATGCTGGCTGACTGACCGACGCTGCTTCGGCCACAAGAGAAGTAATCACTGCCTCTCTGAAATCCGAGTGGCACATCCTGTGGGGGGAAAACTTCCTGTGCAGTTGATATGCATTGACCATCCACAGGTCGATAAGATAAAATGCAAGTTTCCTGCACCACTTGAATGATTTTCTCGAAATTTCATCATACCGGGTCACTTGGTCCATCAAGTCAACCCCACCCATTTTACTGCAGTAGTCGTGAATGCAGGTTGGCTTCATGACGAGTGGCCGTCTTGGTTTGTACTTTGCGAAGCCCGTCGGTTCATGGATTGTCGATAGCATGTTTACGGTCCTCTTGTGCTGGAATTTTATGGCTACCAACTTATCCTGCAGGTGGACAACAGTTTCCCCGTCTTTGAGCTTTGCATTCCTCGGGTCTGCAAAAGCTGCAGGCAAACCCTTCCTGTTGCTGCGGACAGTACCACAGGCAAAAGTGTTTTTATTACACAAGAAGTGAAATAGAGCTGGGGAAGTGTAATAATTATCCATGTACACATGGCCCTTGCTTAAAGCGTTGGCTGCCTGTAGAAGGCTGACGACTATTTTCTCAGTCTGACCTGAAGTTGCTGGCAGACCAGCAGTTGAAGCTTTACCCTGAAGAGGCGAAGTCTGAGCGCTGAAAATGTCAAAATAAAGACAGTAGCCACTTGATGACTCGCAGAGAGTATCTAGTTTGATGCCAAACTTGTGTGGCTTAGCCAGATTGTAGACTTTAAACGAAAGTCTGCCCTTGAAAAGACAGAGTGCTTCGTCCACAGCAGGGTCTCGTGCGGTGCATATGCACTGGGGAAACGTGCCAGACAGGCGTTGACAAGAGGCCTCACCTTGAATAATCTGTCTATTTCAGTTGGATCTTGTTCCAGTTCCTCCTCACTATTACTAATGTGAAAATTCCACAGAATGTGGAAAAACCGATCGCGACTCATTGTCTTGGAGAACCAAGGGGTTTTTGTTGTTCCTCCGTTTACCCAGTAGCTCTTCAAATTGGACTTTGGCAGCAGTCCCATGTTGAGAAGCACTGAGGACAAAAATAAAGAGGTACGAAGATATGAACAAAGCCACAAAAAAGTGTTGTTTCTGCTATATATTCCGTAACGAGCGACCACTATGAAATAAATGGGTTAGGGTGAAAGATAGGGTCAGACGTCTTCAGGGGCAGGTCTCTTTATTGTGTTTATTGGGATGGTCACTCGTTATGGAAGTCCAGCAAAATAAAAGTCTAGATTAGGCCTATATATATATATAGATCTAATATCACTGCAAGGTCTGTAAAGATTTTACTGTCTCTCCCCACCATTTCTATTGTTCAAGCTAACCATAGCAACGATGGTTTTGCTCTAGATCTAGTCTAGCCTAATGAAAATTCAATTTATAGAGACATCACAAAGTTTGCAGACAGATCTTGTTCCCTCCCGACATGCTAGATCTGGATCTAATCTAGATTTAGATCTAAAGAATTCTAGTCCAAGTCTAAAACTAAATTCTAGATCTAAATCTAGATATCTAGTATTTGTGGGCAATGAGAAAAAAATTCCATACTATACCTGAAAGGAACACTTTCATCTCCTCCAAAGTCACCATCTTCCACTTCTCCAAGTACTTGTTTTCTCCCACATCACTTGCGCTTTGCTTTTGAAAAGCATACTCGTTTGTTTGTGCGACAAACGATCCAATCTGTCCATCGTCAATGAAAATCTTGAAGAAGTCGATTGGTTTCATGTCAACGTTAATGGGAGCCAGAAGTTGTGAGGCTCCTGTGAATCCACTGACTGGGGGTTTTGATATGTTGTTGGTAAACATTTTCCAACCCGACTCAACATCGTCGGGGTGGTCAGCATCATGAGACGGAGTAAAGTCAATTAGATTTAGTAACCCACGGTTCGGCGTTTCCATCGGAACATCGTCGGCCGTAAATCCATCAAAATCTTCATCATCTGAGTCTTCCTCACGCATTAAATCAACTAAGAAACGAAAATCTTCCTCTGCTTCTGCCATGCTTGAAAGGTGGAGCCTTGACGAAAACGCACTGGTCAGTGGAGAAAACGCGTTGGTCAGAGGATTGAAAACGTGCGGTCAACGGTATATAAACAGCGCTGTTCAGGACCGCTAAAAAAACTCAGTTCTCGGTCGATTTCTAAAATTCGAAGACCAGAATAACCATCAGCCAATCAGCTTTCAGCTCAGTATTCACCTCGGACGAGGAATGTTAAGAAACGGAAGCGACGCTACTGTTTCTAGCGCACCCCCTTGCGCTGCGAATAGTCGCGATCAGGCCTTGAGCGTAAGCGAGCGCTGATGCAAATAGTCGCGAACAGAGCTATAAGGGTTAAAAGACCTCTGTCAATTTTGTCCCACTGCTTGACGGGCCGGAGTTGCCTGGTGTTGTCAAATAAGTTGTCTCACAATTTGTCTTCTGAATTCAAAGTGATCCACTGGGTTTACATTAACACTTTTTTTTTAATAAGATGGGAAGAAAATAGGAAAAAGATTAAAGTAAAGAAAAAAATGAATAAGAAAACCCCCCCCAAAAAACAGTGTGGTGTTGTGCCAGTGCTGCAAGGACTTGTATGTGGCAATCTTGCAGCTCCTCAGCAAGTCGTCAGACAAGTGTCTGTTGGTGGTGGCCAACTTGTCAACAAGGATGGTCTGCAGAGATTTTGTTGACAAACTGGGTCTGCTGGTGGTCCTGTTTTTCCTCACCATGGAGAACTCTCTTTCTGATGCTTCATTGCTGTGAGGAATGGAGAGGATGGCTCAGAGAGAAATGATCCTCCTGATGCACTTGCCAAGAGACAACCACCTGGTAGGACAGTACTTGACAAGGTTCCTGCCATGAACTCCCAACCAAATTCTAGGAGAAATTTTTAAAATTCAAGGAGATTAGGTCAAGAAATTCATGCTGTTTTCAACGGCACACCAAGAGCAATAATACAGGACACTAAAATTCAATAAGGGCATTGACACACAAATGTTTTAATTAAAAACCAGTTTAAATGAATTTAAACTTTGTCCTACCTTTAAAACTTTATACCGTGCGTGGTCTCTGCTCAATCCATAAAAACAGGCCATGTTGGAAGTTGAAGAAATCCCAAATTGAAAACCCATGTAATATGTACACACACTTGAAGAAAAAATTTACACTGAAACTGTAGGAATATATAGACTACTTACAAGTCCGCCTGGCTCCAAATTAAGTGCCAGCTATTTCTTTAGCTGCAGCTTCCACTGCAACTGAAACTGTCTCTATTTCCTTTCTCTTGGCTTTGGCTCCCTGCCAAAGAGCATTAGACTCCACAAGAAGCTTTATGGCTCCAAGCTGTTCAGCTTTCTCAGCTAGGGAGTCAGCTTTGCTGACCAGATCTGTACTTCTTTCTCTAACTTTTTCTTCTGCTGCGTTTCCTGCTCCAGTTTTCTGTCCTCAAGATATTGCCTATAAGAGGCCCTGGAGCCGCTGACAGCTGCAAGTAGAGGAGCATTTAAGAGAACATTCTCAACTCCACCTACAGCTGCCACATGATCGTAGACCTCCCTCTTTGAGATGGCAGTTCTCTCCACCATGTTAACTACCATGGTCTCTCTGTTGACAGAGAAGCCCCTTTCCACCAGTGCCCTGGCCATGGCTAATTATAAGAAGTTGTTTTATGAACTTCCTCAGAGCACAGTCACTTGAATTGGCAAACAAGCCTTAAAAATATGTGTCCAGCCTGTCAACAGAGGATTCAGGATCAGTGTTGCTGTGACACATTCGTGCAGAGCACAATATCTCTTTAGCGTGATCATGATTGAAATCCACCTGGTTTCTACCTCTTTTTTTAACTTCAAAGGCTTGTCCCTTCCCATTGTTGTCTGCGTTTGCATCAGTTTCGTGGTTACTTTGGCTGAAACATGAAAGAAATTCACCACTTTTGTTACTTTCCCAATCAGGGGTTCCAAGTCCTTGGTCTGTCCAATTGCCTCTTTGACTATAAGGTTGAGTGAATGAGCAAAACAGTGGACATGGTAAACTTTCAAGTAGTCCTTTACTAAAGAAACCATGGATTGTTCATTGTCTGTTGTGACAGAAACTAATTTTTTGGTCAAACCAAATTCCTCCAGGACTTCATTTATGATGGTACTCATGCTTTGTGATGTATGGTCAATTTCTAAATGACGAGTGGCCAGAACAGTGGACTTAAACTCACCTTTGCAGCAGTGATGTGGCGCACAAGAAAAGGTCATTTGCCAGGAAAGGAAACAGGGGAGCATCGGTTTGATACCTCAGCAGAAAGTGTTGAAGAATCTTGGCCACTGAGATGAAGTTTTCAACTTTAGCTTTCAGGAGGGGATCGCCCATGGTTTCGAGAGCAACCAGAGTTTCGAATGACTTGGTTTTCAGGGGCGTCTTGGATTTCAACAAGCACTGAAGGTACCTCTGCACATGAGGCCAAACAGCGAGGGCCTGTTCTGCCACACGGATGTTTTCCACCCATCGAGGGCTGCAGAAGTCCAGGGGAAAGGTGGAACAGCCTGTCAGCTCCTCAAAGTCTTCTCGTCTGCAAGGGGTGTCCTTAAAGATCCATGTCAATGCGGAAAAAAAAGAGCCCAGGTCCCAACTAGATGCAGTATGCCCAGCTTTAAAGGCATTGTGGACAGTGTGCAGACCACAGCTGGATATGTCCTCCAGTTTCAATTCTTCTCTTACGGTTGATGCCAGCTCTTCTGTGAGCAACCGGTGAAACTTGTGGTTCACTGCTGGGCCATCCATGGACAGCTGAACCAGTTTGGATAGGTTGACCTTTCCATCCAGGGCAGCCTTCACTTTTTCCAACAAGACTGCTGTCGTTGCATGGCCAACCTTGTCGCAGTCCCAGAAGCGTAGGTGGAGGTCGAGCTGCTTTGATCCCAGTTCTTTGTTTAATGATTCGTCAAACATGAGGACAAATCCCTCACATTTGTTGATCCGCTGGGTGAGAAAACTCTGGGAGTGAGGTCCCAGTCCGAAAGTTGTAATGCAGGCTACCTTGTCCGCCCCGCTACTGAAATTTTTAGCCACCTCGCTGTCACTCAGGAAACATGGTTGCAAAGATCTGACTTATCTCGTCGCAGCTGTTAAACGAAAAGTGGCTGCAAATCGTTTTCAGTACCCTTAAAACCTCAGCTTTGAGAACCAGTTCACTGGTTTTAAGAAAATCTGTCGTGGTGGTGGCCGTTGTCGAACTGACTAGGCTCTGGTCCTGGTTGACAAACAGCAATCTCCACCGTGGATGATTCAGGCGCAGTGGAGGAAGCTGCAGAGCCAGACGATGACGACGATTTAGGCGTAGCGCCAGCACAGAATGATGCGATGCTGAGAGACTGGCTGGATGAGCCGGCTAAAGATCTGTGCTTTTCTGATTTCATGTGTGACTTTAATGAAGACTCACCTATGCTCACAACCTCAAACTCTTTAATGCAAAGCACACATCTTGCTTTGTACATGTTTTTGGGCACTGGTCTTAACCAATGAGCATACTTTGGATCCTGCATCCAAGATTTAGAAAATTGAGTCTTGTACGACGGCATTGTTTGTTAATGTTAAATTAGAATAAAAACAAGTCAAATATTACTACGACATTGGTCTTATTGTAATATAGTTCGTATAATATAAAATATCCATAATCTCATAAACTAATAATTTGCTGTGGATATAAAGTAGTCAAAAATTGTGTAAAGCAGAAAAAGATGAACAAGAAAAGTGCTTTAGAATACATAAGCTTGAGACAGGTCCATGAGTAAAATAATACCTTAGATTTCTTATCAAGTGCAAGGAGTACAACTGAATTTCTATTTTGTGTTTGTTTTTAAATTACCTTGTCGCAGTCCCAGAAGCGTAGGTGGAGGTCGAGCTGCTTTGATCCCAGTTCT